GAAGGCCCGTTTTTCACCCTCCCCAGGCTCCAGAGACTTTCTAGGAGCCTGGGGAGGACAAAAATAGCCTTCCCCACCCCCAACCCCCAGACGTCCTCCGGAGGCCGGAAAGAGTCCATTTCCCAACTTCCAGTGGGCCTGGAAGGCCCGAAAATCAGCTGGCCGGATCATGCAAGTGCGCTGGAGCTGAGCTAGGGCAACACTTGTGTGCCCACAAATATGGCTCCGTGTGCCACCTGTGGCACGTGTGCCATAGGTTCGCCATCATGGCCCTAATGCGTCCTTTGGAGGAAAAACTAATACAAGACCCGGTCTTATTTTTGGGGAAACACAGTAGTCCAATTCCCTGCACAAGCAGGAGATCTATACCATTTCAGACAGATTGCTCCCCATCTCTTCTTAAAAGCCTCCAGTGATGGAGTGCTTCTGGTTGTTCCACTGATTAATTGTCCTCACTGTTAGGAAGTTTCTCCTTTGTTCCAGGTTGCTTCTCTCCTTATTTAGTTTCCATCCATTGTTTCTTGTCTTGCCTGACACTGGTGCTTTAGAACATAAATTGACCTCCTCTTCTTTGTGTCAGCCCCTCAAATATTGGAATGCTGCTATCACATGCTATATCTGATATCCCTTTATTTATGCAGAGTCCCTAGGCTAATATTTCTCAGTCTTGGTGACTTTAAAATCTGTTGTTTTCCAGAATTCTCTAGATCCAGCAATGTGGATTTTCTCCTTGGTGATTCCTTTTTTTACAAACATATCACATCAATGCATTAACAGTGTGGCACCTGAGTGTCATACATTCTAATACAAATAAAACTAGTAAGTCATAGTTATTAAATTAGTCATAGTTATTACATTCAATCAATTTATGAATTTCTAATAATAATATACAATTATAATAAGTTGCAATCTATCATTATTCAATTATTCCATGTTTTCTCTTATTGTTACTTTTATTTTATTATATAACTGTCTACACTAACATTCCCCCTTCTCTTATTTCTGACACTTATTCTAACTTTTAATCATGTCATCTTTTACTGAAAAGCATTTTCTTTCTATCCAACCTAACTTCTAGTCATGCCACCTACCTTTAAAAAAAAAGGGGGGGGAAGAGAGAGAGAGAGAGAGAGAGAGAGAGAGAGAGAGAGAGAGAGGGAGGGAGAGAAGGAAAAGCAAATCAGAACAACGACAAGGAAAAGAAATCTATCCATCGTCTCTTGCCCGCTTCAATACTTTAGTTGATATACTTTTTTAAATTTGCCTCCCACATTCTTCTCTAGGATCTTTATCTCTATCTGTAACTGCTTGTTGGTGATTCCTTGATTAGGACTGTTTTCTGCTTGCTTGATTGTTTGTCTGGTGTTAAGCCCTGCTTATCTGAACATAGGCTGCTGGAGAGGATGTGTTTATAAAACTATATTGAGTGGAGTTTACCCTAAATTGATGTTTCTCAAACTTGGCAATCTTAAAATGTGTAGACTTCAGCTCCCAGAATTCCCCATATAGCCTGACTGGGGAATTTTGGAAATCGAAGTCCACGCATCTCAATGCTGCCTAGTTTGAAAAACACTGATCCAGAGTAACTCAAAAAGAATTTGGCAGCGTCTTTTAAGACAATTTTTTTTTAAAAAAATTAGCCATGATCTTTCCACCTTAAAACAAACCTCTTTTGAGTCTTTCTGCTGGCTGGCTCACAATCTGAGTCTTAGATTCTCATGATGCAATGCAGGAAAAGTTGGTGGGGCCCCAGGGTTGCTAGGAAATCGTAGTGTTTTCAAGTTTGGGTGAAACCGTGCAATCACAAGAGCCAAGTTTGCAAATGCTTGGCCCAAACTATGATACAGTATGAATTGCGATGAAGAACGGTCGCAGGAATTGGGTATGGCCAGTCTAGAGAAAAGAAGGACTAGGGGGGACATGATAGCAGAATTCCAGTATTTGAGGGGCTGCCACAAAGAAGAGGGGGTCAAATTATTTTCCAAAGCAGCAGAAGGCAAGACAAGAAACAAGGGATGGAAACTAATTAAGGAAAGAAGCAACCTGGAATTAAGGAGAAACTTCCTAATAGTGAGGACAATTAACCAGTGGAACAGAAGATGCCACCAGAAGTTGTAGGTGCTTCATCACTGGAGGTTTTTAAGAAGAGACTGGACAGCCACTTGTCGGAAATAATATAGGATCTCCTGCTTGAGCAGAGGGCTGGACTAGAAGACCTCCGAGCTTCCTTCCAGCTCTATTCTGATTGGTTGGTTGGTTGGTTGGTTGGTTGCAAATTCTGATTCTTCTTACCATAAAAATGGTAGCAAAAAAAGGTCATGAAATTGGACGTCACTCATGTTAACAAGAGCCTTGCTCAGAAATGGAAATTCTGGTTCCAATTGTGGCCATAAGCAGAGAACTACCTGTATATACCAGTATATATTATATAATAATATATAATATATATAATATAAAGTATATATTAAAAAAAGAAGCCAGTGGTTTCTTAGAAACATGGGGTTGGACTAGATAGAAGGTCCCTTCCAGCTCTATTATAATTGAAGGGTGTGTGTGTGTGTGTGTGTGTGTGTGTGAGAGAGAGAGAGAGAGAGAGAGAGAGAGAGAGACGGACAGACAGAGACAGGCAGACAGACAGGCAGACAGAGAAACAGAGACAGAGACAGAGAGAGAGACAGAGATAGATAGATAGATAGATAGATAGATGAGAGAGAGAGACAGAAATAAGAGAGAAATGAGAGAGAGAGATTAAGGAGAGAGAGAGAGAGAGAGAGAGAGAGAGAGACTAAAGAGATAGATAGATAGATAGATAGATAGATAGAATAGATAGATAGATAGATAGAAACAGACAGACAGATAGATAGAGACAGAGACATAGAGAAAGAGACAGAGAGAGAGAGAGACAGAGAGAGACAGAGAGAGAGACAGAGAGAGACAGACAGAGAGAAACAGAGACAGAGACACACAGAAAGAGAGAGAGAGAGAGACAGATAGATAGATAGATAGATAGATAGAAAACAGACAGACAGATAGATAGAGACAGAGACATAGAGAAAGAGACAGACAGAGAGAGAGAGAGAGAGACAGACAGAGAGACAGAGACAGACAGAGACAGAGACAGAGACAGAGAGAAACAGAGAGAAACAGAGAGTGACATTGACCCAAATGTCACTTCAGCAGAAGACTGGAAGATTTCAACCCTCCATATTGGTTGAATTGAAATGGAGTCTGTAGGATGTGTCCTTAAACTTCAAAACAGCTGTAGACCTTCTCCCAGCAACTTTTAAGGCAGCAATTTGTCCTACCAATGTACCCGTGTCTGCCCTTTCCCCACCTGCTCCGTTCCCTGCCCTGCCTTCCAGCAACACGACAAGGGTTAAGTTGGTTGGAGAGATGCTTTCCCTGCTGCAAAATTGGACCGGAGTGCTTGTCATTTTCACGTGGAAAGATTGGGCTCTTGCACTGCCCTGCCAAAAACTTTGATTTGGAGGGGTTTAAAAAAAAAAAATGCAGCTGCTCTGGTAACTTTGCAAAAACATTTTTTACTCAGATGCGGAATGAGGAACAGGCCACCCCACCTGATCCTGGCGTGTTGTTGTTGTTGTTTTTTCTTTCTTCCCACGCCTTTTCTTTAAAAAAAAAAATTGGAAGAGTGATGTAGCAGGCAAAAGTTATGCAAGCCTGTAATTATTGAGAGTTGCCTCTCCCAAATGGCTTAAAAGACATGCAGGCACCCACCCTGGTGGTTAGAATTACTGCGTGATTTCTTAATTCCAGGAATTCTTCTAATTGTTTTCATCCCTAGTAGACATTTAATACGATTTGGATCGCTACCACGAGAATATGATACCTGGGTTTCCTTTTTATTTTTTTTAAAAATGCTAATCTTCTGCCATAATTTTCTTCGATCTGAGTCTTCACAGAGATGGGGTGGTCTGTCAAATCTGCCATCTAAGCTCATAGGAAGGTTGTAGGGGGGTTATAGAAGAATTTATTAGGGGATGGACAGACTATCAACCAGATGTTCAGACTGGATTTGGCATTTTTGTCCACCACTAAGGACCTGGGATAGGCAGATGTTGTCATTTGGTGATGTTCAAGATGAAGGAAGAAAAGGAAGGAAGGAAGGAAGGAAGGAAGGAAGGAAGGAAGGAAGGTGAAGGGAACAGAAAGAGGAAGGGGGAGGGAGGGATGGGAATGAGAAGAAGGAAGGAGGAAAGGGAAGGAAGGAAGGAAGGAGGGAGGGAAAAAGAGAGGGAGGAATGGGAATAAGAAGGGAGGGAAGGAACAAAGGAAGGAAGGAGAAATGAAGGAAGGGGGGGGAGAGGGAATAAGAAGGAAGGGACAAAAAGAAGAGAAAGAAGAAGAAGAATGAAGGAGAAGGAAGAAGAAGGAGAATGAAGGAAGAGAAGAGGAGGAGGGAGGGAGGTATGGGAATAAGTAGAGGGAAGGAACAAAGGAAGGAAGGAGAAATGAAGGAAGGGGAAACAAAGGAGGAAGGGAGGGAAGGAAGGAGGGAAAAAGGAAGAGAGAGAGGGATGGGAAAGAAGGGAGGGAGGAAGGAAGGAAGGAAAGAAAGAAAGAAATGAAGGAAAGAAAAAGGAAGGAGGAAGGGTGCGATGGAAATGAGAAGAAGGTGGAAGAAAGAGGAAGGAAGAGGAAGAAGGGAAGGAAGGAGGGAAAGAAGAAGGAAGAAGGTGGAAGAAGAAGAAGACATTGAGAGGAAGGGAAGAAGGAAGAGGAGGAAGAAAGTAGGAAGAAGAAAATAAGGCAGCAAAAAAATCCACCAAAATTCAGCAATTTAAAAGAAAACTCTGCTTAAAGCCGACTTTCTTTTCCCCACCTTCATTTTCTCCTAACCTGAAGTTTTATCTCATCCCCTTTTGCAAAAATGGTGGGGAGGGGGAAAGTTCTTTTGGGATTGTAACCGTGAAAACACTAAAAGAGCATTTCTCTCCCCCTCCCAACGAGGCATTGATCAAATCTTTCTTCCTTTCTAGACGCCCCTCCAGTACAGCCAAGCCACGAACCGAAGTAATCAAGTGAGACTCTATTGTGCCTTTCTGGATTACAGGTGAGTTGTCATCCTGGTATAAGACTTATTTGTTGCAAGGTGCATCCAACCGTGTCATCTGCTCTCCCCTACCTGCTGGATTCACAGGAAGGAAACTCGGATAATGAAATCATGATTCTTCTTGGCAGCAAAGCGAAAACAGGGGACTAGGCCATTATTAAGAGGGACGCGGTGGCTCAGTGGCTAAGACGCTGAGCTTGTCGGTCGAGAGGTCGGCAGTTCAGCGGTTCGAACCCCTAGTGCCGCGTAACGGGGAGCTCCTGTGACTTGTCCCACTTCTGCCAACCTAGCAGTTCGAAAGCAGGTAAAAAATGCAAGTAGGAAAAATAGGGACCACCTTTGGTGGGAAGGGAACAGCGTTCCGTGCGCCTTTGGCGTTGAGTCATGCCGGCCACGTGACCACGGAGACGTCTTCGGACAGCGCTGGCTCTTCGGCTTTGAAACGGAGATGAGCACCGCCCCCTAAAGTCGGAACGACTAGCACATATGTGCAAGGGAACATTTGCCTTTACCTAACCTTCTGGGCTTTCAATCAGAGCACATCTCTTTTGAGAATCAGCCCAAGTGGTTTTACGTTAATATGTTTGGGTCTGATCCCCTTCCGATGCTTGGTGGTCATGTGACCGGGAAAACCAACAATCACACTTTACACAAAAATAACACAAACGCTACACAACTGACTCACACACAATGCAAAAGCAGCTGGACTTCACACAAAATGGCCCCTGCAACAAGCAGGAACAGAGGTGGGTTTCAGCAGGTTCTGACCAGTTCTGGAGAACCGGTAGCGGAAATTTTGAGTAGTTCGGAGAACTGGTAATAAAAATTCTGACTGGCCCCGCCCCCATCTATTCTCTGCCTCCCGAGTCCCAGCTGATCAGGAGGAAATGGGGATTTTGTAGTAACCTTCCCCTGGAGTGGAGAGGGAATGGAGTTTTTACAGTATCCTTCCCCTGCCACACCCACAAGCCACGCCCACCAAGCCATGCCACGCCCACCAAGCCACACCCACAGAACCAGTAGTAACAAATTTTAGGAAGAGCCTGTAGTACAGTGGACTAAAGCACTGTTATTAATATCTGCTGCTTGCAATTACTGCAAGTTCAAATCTCGCCAGGCTCAAGGTTGACTCAGCCTTCCATCCTTTCTAAGGTAGGTAAATTGAGGACCCAGTTTGTGGGGGCAATAAGCTGACTTTGTATAAATATACAAAAGAATGAAGGCTATTGCTTAACGCATTGTAAGCCGCCCTGAGTCTCCGGAGAAGGGCGGCATATAAATTAAAGCAAAAAAAAAATTAAAATTAAAATTAAAACCCACCACTGAGCAGGAATCTCACAGAGTCACAGAGAGCTCAAAAACAAACTATCACACTTTACACAAAAATACCGGTTCAGGTAATAGGTAGTAAAAAAATGATTTAAAACATAAAAAAAAAAAGTTCTGAAAATCATATGGCACAGCTGATTGTCACAGCTGATCATTGGAACTTTTTTAAAAAAACTTTTTTTAAAGCATTTTTTTTACTACCCATTTGCCTAAGCCGGTAGTAAAAAAATGCTTTAAAAAAGTAAAAAAAAAGTTCCGATGATCAGCTGTGCTGTGCAATTGTCAGAACTTTTTTTTTTTAACTTTTTAAAGCATTTTTATTACCGGTTCGGGCAAACTGGTAGCATTTCACTCCTGCACCTAGGAAACGGTGTTTTTTTTCCCCCTTTCTTTTCAGAAAATTATGGAATACGGTTGGGTGAGTGGGTTTTTTTCTTATTTAGCCAAAATAGAAAGCAATCAGAGGCATGATGTGTGGTTTTATGGAGCCCTCTCTGTTTTCTCCTTGCCCCACTCCATCATTCGTTATTGATTTCACATTATGCAACATTCTTTAGAAGTGTTCGACCTAAAAACGTCATTAAATAAATAATTTGGGCACAAAAAAGGGACAGTGGTACTTTGGCACTCAATTGGTTCCGGGAAGCGTGATGAGCGCCAAAAACGATGACAATTTTTTCCCAAAAGGAATTATGTAGTGAGTCACACAAAGTAGCTGACACCTAGAAGTTCTAACTTGTGTTTTGAATGTCCCAAAGGTGCTTTTTTCTCAAGAGGATCACTTGTATTGACAGTACGGATTGTATCTGAGGCAGTAGACGGTGTACTGTCACATGATCTATGTATATTTGTAAAATATACTCCCCTTCTATGTGTATTTTAATTTGGTCTCTGATCGCAATAAAAAGCTTACTTACTTACTTACTCAAGAGGCAACTGGACTTTCTGGTTTTTCTTTGAAGACATTTTGCTGCTCATCCAAGACGTTTCTTCAGCTCTGACTGGATGGTAGGAGCTGAAGAAGCTTCTCGGATGAGAAGCGAAACGTCTTCAAAAGAAAAACCAGAAAGTCCAGTTTTTGGTTTTTTTTTAAATTTGATTTATATGCCGCCCGTCTCTGGAGACTCAGGGCGGCTTACAATGCGTTAAGCAACAGCCTTCATACTTTTGTATATTTATACAAAGTCAGCTTATTGCCCCCACAAACTGGGTCCTCATTTTACCTACCTTAGAAAGGATGGAAGGCTGAGTCAACCTTGAGCCTGGCGAGATTCGAACCTGCAGTAATTGCAGGCAGCTGAATGATAATAACAGGCTATTAGTCTGCTGTGTCACCAGGCCACCAGTTTTTTTTTTTTAATTTGATTTATATGCCGCCCTTCTCCGGAGACTCAGGGCGGCTTACAATGCGTTAAGCCAGTGGTCCCCAACCTTTTTATCGCCGCGGCCCGCTGAGCGCGCGCAGGGGTGGGGCCACGGCCCAGGAGCTTTTGCGCAGGCCCATTGTGCACGGCCCAGGAGCCTTTGCGCTGCAGCGTTCCTGTCCCCCGGCCGCTGCGCGGCCCGGTGCCAGGTACTCCACGGCCCGGCACCGGTCCGCGGACCGGGGGTTGGGGACCACTGCGTTAAGCAATAGCCTTCATTCTTTTGTATATTTTATACAAAGTCAGCTTATTGCCCCCACAAACTGGGTCCTCATTTCACCTACCTTAGTAAGGATGGAAGGCTGAGTCAACCTTGAGCCTTGGAGAGATTCGAACCAGCAGAAATTGCAGGCAGCTGTGTTAATAACAGGGTGCACTAAACCACTGTACTATCAAGGCTCAAGAGTTGCCTCTTGAGAAGCACCTTTGGGACAACCATGACCTGGAGGACTGAGAATCTCCATAGACGTTTGTGTTTTGAATACCAATCAAATGATGAGTACCGGGACAAGATTCTCACATCAACATGTGTCGAGTATCAAATTGGATAAGTTTCAAAGCCGTTGAGTACCAGGGTACCACTGTACGTCCATCTTTTGCAGAAACGGAAGCGGTGTTTGGTCCAACCAAGGCTGTGTGCGTGATGGGGGTGACCTCAACTATTCCACCTGCTTGTGCAACCATCTCACCAACTTTGCCATCTTGATGCAAGTGGTGCCACTAACGGTAAGCCAAGCCAAATATTCAGAACTGTGGTGTGGTGTGTAGGCAAACTAATAGTCCTCGGTCATCTAAACCCAACCTTTCGGACCTCAGGGACCACTAAATTCATAATTTTAAAACCCACCAACCACTAATATGATCTGCCTAATGACTGGGTGGGTGGGTGTGGCTAGGTGGTCATGTGACTGGGTGGGCGTGGCCAACTCGATGGCCAACTCAATGTCACTCATATCGAGGGGCACCTCCTTGGCCTCTACTCACCCTCCCCTGCCAGTCAATCCTCGCCTCCCTGCCCAGGCTCCTTAAGGCACCAATAGGAAGCAGTTGCTGGAAGTTCCATGGGATCTCAGAGACCCCTGCTAAGATCTCAACCCTCTGTTGTGGTCTGCCAACAGCCTGCAGACCTGGCAGCGAAGTCAGACAATGAGGAGGCTGGGGAGGACAATGGGCCAGTCCTGGAGTCTGGGGAAGGCCCGGACAAGGGCTCTACATCAGAGGCAGAGATGGGGCCAGGGCCATCTGGGAGCGATGCATGGACTCTGGAGCCTCCAGAGGCAGACAGCAGAGAGGCAGAGGAACAGGAGGAGCCTGTTCCTAGTGCATGCATGCGAAGAGCTGCCAGAAGGCAAGAAGGACGACTCAGGAGTAAGGCCAGAAGATGATTGGCTCCTCCCATAAGGCTTAAAAGAGCAGCAATGAGCCGTTGGGTTCTTTGTAAAAAAGCAAAGTTGATTCCAGTGCTTCTTGTCAACGTCTCTTGAACTTTGTGGGGTTTTTGCCAAGAAAACCCCACAAAGACATCAAAGGTTGGTGATAAGGCCATAGGACCGATTACGAAGAATTTTGTTTTGGTCTAAGCCGAGAATGAATTAATTCTCAGCTCTTTTAACAAAATAAGTTTGTTGAGGACTGAATTGTGTTTGGTAATCACTACTTGGGCCTCAGTCACAACACCCTCAACCCACATGGCAGCCTTGGCTGTTCCCGCTCAACGCTGGGTGGTACGACTCCTGCCTTTTGGCAAAGGCCCTAATTAATCCGGTTGGATCCAACGATCAGATGGATGACACAAACTTTGGCACGATCACATGTCCGCCTTGTATCATCTGAGCAAATGGGAATTCGTCTCTACGTCTTGCTTGCCAAGGACCTTGGTGCCGATTGACTGTGCTAAAAGACAATTTACAATTACGATTAACTGGAAAAAGCTGCAAGAGATGATTTTGCATTCAAATATTTGCCTTGAGTGCGTGTTTTACTCCGCACTGGTTGTTCTAATCCAGGGAGACCCTTTGCCAATGTTTGCACAGTTCCTCAAATTAGTTTTATTCACAAAGATTCATTTCCCTCTTTTTCTGCTTTTTCTCCCCCCCCTTGCCCCCCCTCCCCCCATAAACTGAAATTCACCTACTTTCTTTCCCTTCAAGTGGCTGGTTCATTTTATAGTCGTTGATTTACTTTGCAGGCAAGATAAATTTATCTTCCACTTTCTGGAATTTTTCACCGTCGGGGGTGGGTGGGTGGGAATATATTTGTGATAGGAAAGCAGATTCTGCACTGCATGCCTGGAATTCTATGCACACCAAGCTGATAAACACGGAGTGTGCCAATCACAAAAGGCTAGGAAAGTTTGACGACTCGGTGCAGTTATTCAGAACATTTTAGCTCTCTGCTCTCTGCTCTCTCTCTCTCTCTCTCTCTCTCTCTCTCTATCTCTCATTTTCCAAAAAGAAATTAAAAAATGAAACCCATCCCTGTTGCTTTAGGTGATTTCCACTTTGAAAAAAGATTTCAAAGACAAACTCCACATCAAAAAAACACGGTTCCCCATGAATTCTATCCCGGAGAGGCAGGTATTAGGTTTTCTAAGGACGGGTAGCTTAGAAGTGATAAAGATCTATAAACTTTATATAGGGAAAACATGAAATAAATTTCCAATCCCTGGCAAAAGTTCTATTTGGACTGAGTTGCAATAAATTTTGGGTTCAGGACTGTAGTTTATTTTATTTTTTTTCCCCCTAGTTTCTTGGCAGAATTAATCTGGCTTTTGTTTGCTTCTCGTTTAATGGATTAAGTTTATTCTAAGGTTTACCCAACCATTTTATCATGTAGTTTGCTGAGTAAAAAAAAAAAAGGCACACAACGGTGCCAGCAAACTTTGGCATTATAAACTGGTGGAATTCAACAACAAGATTAATAGGAGATTTGGGACCTGAAAAAAGTGAGGGGGAAAGAGAGTCAAAGATTTCAGAACTGGAAGGTTTGCAACCTCTGCTTTATAATCATCCGTATTAACTCCGATGGCTCTAATGCAGTGATGGCTAACCTTTTCCGGACCGAGTGCCAAAACCATCCGCACGCAGATGTGTAGGTGCCCCCCCCAAAATGCAATGCACGCCCCTCCAGCACATGCACCCTTGCCCCGTACATGTGCACATAGCCCCCATGCATGCATCCCGCCTCCGCGCATGTGCAGCTGAGACCCGAAGACCAGGTGGCCAGTGGGAGGTGCATGTGCAATTCTGGAGAACCTGGTAAATACCACCTCTGACTGGCCCCGCCCCCATCTATTCTCTGCCTCCTGAGTCCCAGCTGATCGGGAGGAAATGGGGATTTTGCAGTATCCTTCCCCTGGAGTGGGGAGGGAATGGAGATTTTACAGTACCCTTCCCCTGCCATGTCCATCAAGCCACAGCCACAGAACCAGTAGTAAAAAATTTTTGAAACCCACCACTGGCGTACATGTGCTGCAGAGCTGAACTGGGGCCACGGCTCGCATGCCATCAGAGAAGGAACTGCGTGCCACTTCTGGCATGTGTGCAATAGGTTCGCCATCATGGCTCTAATGTCTTCTGCAACAGGAATATTAGATAATGCTGAAGGACCAAGATCATCTCCTACCAAGGCAACATCACATGTTAAATGATGCTAAGTTTTTGTGGCCAAAACTCAGTTGCATTCACCCAACATGTGGGGTCCTTGGTGCTCTCTGAGCTTGGTTCCTTTCTTGTACACATTTCGTCGCCCACCCAACTAGGTAACATCTTCAGGGCTTCAAGCAAACCCACCTCCATTCTACTGCTGATCTTAGAATCATGGGGCTGGAAGGAACCTTGGAGGTCTTCTAATCCAAGCCCCTGCCCAAGGTAGTAGCTTTATACCATCCCAGACAAATGGTTGTCCAATTATTTTCTCGAAAACCTCCAGTGATGGAGCACCTACAACTCCAGGAGGCAAGTTGTCCCATTGATTAATTGTTCTTACCGCAACCCAACAAGAGAGACACAGACTTCAGAGGATAATTAGAACTGCAGAAAAAACCATGGCTACCAACCTGCCTTCCATTGAGGACCTGTATACTGCACGAGTCAAAAAGAGGGCTGGAAAAATATCTACAGACCCCTCGCATCCTGGACATAAACTGTTTCAACTCCTACCCCCAAAACGACGCTATAGGGCACTGCACATCAGAACAACTAGACACAAGGACAGTTTTTTCCCGAACGCCATCACTCTGCTCAACAAATAATTCCCTCAACACTGTCAAACTATTCACTAAATCTGCACTACTATTAATCTTCTCATCCTTACTAGTACCTATCTCTTCCCACTTAGGACTGTATGACTGTAACTTGTTGCTATATCCTTACGATTTATATTGATATTGTTTCCTAGTATGATTTGATTGCTTATTTGTACCCTATGACTATCATTAAGTGTTGTACCTTTTGATTCTTGATTCTTGTATGTTGTCTTGTTATATACACTGAGAGCATATGTACCCAAGACAAATTCCTTATGTGTCCAATCACACTTGGCCATTCTATTCTATTCTATTCTATTCTATTCTATTCTATTCTATTCTATTCTATTCTATTCTATTCTATTCCTGTCAGGAAATTTCTCCTTAGTTCCAGGCTGGATCTCCCTCCGACAAATTTTCACTCATTGCTTCTTGTCCTGCCCTCAGGTGCTTTGGAGAATAAATTCATCCCCTCTTACCTATGATGGCCCTTCAAGTTTTGGAAGATAGCTATCATATCACCCCTAAACCTTCTCTTCATGCCTACTTCCGTTAGCCATTTATCATACAGTTATGATGATACCTAGTTGGGTAACACAACATCGGCAAGAAAACCACCAAGTTATCGAAGACACCCAGTTCAATTCTGAGCTGCAAATATTCTGGCTAAGCAACACATGCATTTTTCCCCCTGGATCTGAATTATTCTGCATATTAAGTCCTTGATAAAATAACTTGTAGGGATGCTGACTTTGCAAGCTTCGCACATCACCACTAATATAATTTAATTACTCGTTTATGTGATACATAAATTAATTTGGACATAAACTTTCTTCGGGATACCTCCATAAAGAGCAGGCGTAATAAATAAATAATCCTAATCGCGCCTTTAGTGGATATTGACTTATTTACAGAGGCAGCCAATGGCCATATTTCAAGGCAGAGATTTCAACGGGGAGTCAAAAACGAAGCATATGGAAGATTTTAGCATCTCGCCTTCGCGTTGGCCACAGAGCAAATCCCATGGAATGGCAGTTCTTATTTTGGAAGGCTAAATATATCGATGTTGGAAGATTTCGTGGCCATATGGTGTTCAGATTCCATACCGGCATTGGCCATATTAGGCTTCATGATAAATCGGCGTGGGGTGAGATTTGAACGGTTTCTATCTTGTTTGTTTGGTGATGGTGCCCCCATCACACATGGCCTTGCCTGTCAAAAAATGCTTTCAAGCAGAATAGATCTGGAAGGGACCTTGGAGGTCTTCTAGTCCAACCCTCTGCTCAAGCAAGAGATCCCCAACATTTCGGACTTCAGGGACCACTAAATTCATAATTTTAAATTTCGCGGACCACTAATATGATCTGCCTAATGACCGGCTGGGTGGGTGTGGCTAGGTGGTCATGTGACTGGGTGGGAGTGGCCAACTCGATGTCATTCACATCAAGGGGCGCCTGCAGGAGTGCAAGGCCAGGTATCGGCGCCTGGAGGCTCAGAGGGCTGAGATGGTCAGCCAGTTCCAGGCCATGAGGTAGTCCCACTGGAACGAGGCCCTCCGGCTTTTCGCCACCAGCGGCGCTTCCCTCCAGCCTTCGCCCAAAGCCCCACACCAGGCGGCCGAAGCAGACCCCAAGTTGGAATTTCTGCCCCCCTCCGACCCACACAAAAAGACCCCAAAGGGGGAGACTCTCTGCAGCAACACAAACGTTCATTGCACGTATCCAGCCCAGGGGCCGTAGTTTGAGGACCCCTGATTTAGTGCAATATAAAAAATGCAAATAATTTTTTTGCGGACCACCAAAATTTTCTCACGGACTGCCAGTTGGTCTCCGCTGCCCAAGACCATTCCAGACCAATGACTGTCCATTCTCTTCTTAAAAACCTCCAGCGATGAAGCACCCATAACTTGTGAAGGCAAATTGTGAAGGCAGAGTCTCGGGGTCACAGGTTCCCCTTTTGTGACCATCTGATGAGCAAAGTCAACGGGGAAGCCAGATTCACTTAACAACCTGGACCTGGATACCTTCGAGACCGACTTCTACCACCAATAGCCTCCCACCGGCCAGTCCGCTCCCACAGAGATGGTCTCCTCAGGGTGCCATCGGCCAAATTATGTCGGCTGGCGACACCCAGGGGGAGAGCCTTCTCTGTGGGAGCCCCTGCCCTTTGGAATGAGCTGCCCCCAGAAATTCTTAAAATCTCTGATCTCCGTATATTTCTCTGTGCCCTCAAAACCTTGTCATTCCGCCAGGCTGGGCTATCAAGGTAAAGATTTTAATTGGGTTTTTTAAAAATGGGATTTTAAATTTGGGGTTTTAAATTGAGCCTATCATTTAATAATTTTAATTATTTTTAAATTTTGTCTGTCTTTGTGCTTTTAATCAGGCTGTACACCGCCCTGAGTCCTTCAGGAGAAGGGCGGTATCGAAATAAATTTAATAAATAATAATAAGTAATAAATAAACCAAGCTACTACACAACTGCAGAGATTTACTTAACGACAGCTTAACAAAGAAAGGTTGTAAAATGGGGCAAAACTCACTTAACAAATGTCTCGCTTAGCAACCGAAATGTTGGGCACAATTGCGGTCGTAAGTCGAGGATCACCTCTCTCTATACTTCCCTATTCTTTCTCCAGCCACCCCAATCTTTCACGCAGAATCATAAATTCTGGAGAAACCCTTTCCAAATACCGTCCTTGTAGCTCGAAGCGGGGCAATTAAACAAATGTTGAATTTCCTCCATCTTTTGCCGCCTGATATTTCATCTCCCATACACGGGATCGTTCTGCCTTTCGATACAACCCTTGATTTGCAGCGTGTATGCTAGGCGAAGCTATTTTCCATCCGAAGGAGAAATTAGATTTTTTTTTTTCCGGGAGTGTGAAAATCCTTGAATGAACAGTCAATCAGGAGAGCATCAGGGAAGGTTAAACAAAGCGGAGACAAAGACCTTGATTTTGTGATGCTACGAAGTCTGGAGGCCACGCAATGAATTTCTGTTTGGGCATCGCAGCGCAGGCAAATGCATATTTATGTATCGATACGCAACTAGCTAGTCGATATTCCCTGGGAGTATTGTGGTTACCTGCATTTTTGAGAAACTGCTCCAGCTAATTACGGAGAATAATAACCGAGTTTCCCTCCCCTAGAGAAATAACATGTTGCATAAACGCTCTCCTATTTCATCATTAATTAAAAGGTGACTCCAAGCAAATTTGCTTTGCTTTTAAATTCAGCTCTTCCCCACAACGGGACGAGTGTAAATTGGGGCCGTAAATGGGCAGAGTAAGGCAGCTTTGTAGGCGTTTGATTCGGGGAGAAGTGCGTTCATCTGTAAGATTTGTGCTACGGTTGTGCAGGGCTTGGAATTTGATCCTAAAATGGTGCTTTGAAATGCGTGGAAGTGCAAATGTCAAGCCAGTTTGGTATAGTGGTTAAGGTGCTGACCTAGAAACCAGGAGGCAGTGAGTTCTAGTCCTGCCTGAGGTATGAAACACAATTGGGTGACTTTGGGACAATCACCAGGAGACAGTGATTCTAGTCCTGCCTGAGGCATGAAACACGGCTGGGTGACTTTGGGACAATCACCAGGAGACAGTGAGTTCTAGTCCTGCCTGAGACATGAAACATAAATGGGTGACTTTGGGACAATCACCAGGTGACAGTGAGTTCTAGTCCTGCCTGAGGCATGAAACACGGCTGGGTGACTTTGGGACAATCACCAGGAGACAGTGAGTTCTAGTCCTGCCTGAGGCATGAAACAGGGCTGGGTGACTTTGGGACAATCACCGGGAGACAGTGAGTTCTAGTCCTGCCTGAGGCATGAAACAGGCTGGGTGACTTTGGGACAATCACCAGGAGACAGTGAGTTCTAGTCCTGCCTGAGACATGAAACACAATTGGGTGACTTTGGGACAATCACCAGGAGACAGTGAGTTCTAGTCCTGCCTGAGGCATGAAACAAGCTGGGTGACTTTGGGACAAATCACCAGGTGACAGTGAGTTCTAGTCCTGCCTGAGGCATGAAACACAGCTGGGTGATTTAAGGCCAATCACCAGGAGACAGTGAGTTCTAATCCCGCCTTAGGCATGAAACACATCACTACCTTTTTTCCTGTCTTCCAAAGCAGTTTCCAACCAAGCTACAAAGGAAAACACAACTTGGTAATTCTCATGAAATAAATTAGAGCCAGACAGTTGGAAGATCCAAAAGGACCAATTGGGGACAGATCCTCCAGGAATAAAATCTATCCATGTGGCCGCTGGGAGTCAACGTTGACTTGATGGCGCCATCAAGGACAATCCATGGTCTAATTTACAAATGGGGAACAGTTAAACTTTTTTTTTTTTTTAAAAGCCCAAACAAAACCTGTAGGGGATTCTAGAAAATGTCTTCATCTCATTCAAAGCAAAAGTTTATTTTCCTGTTGTTGTCATAACTGTGAACTCTTGATCGCTAACAGATGGTTGAGATGTTCGCCTGTCAAAGGGATTGGCTCTGCTTAGTTCCTTGGACTAGTTCTTGGGGTTTTATTTTTTTTTGTTTTAAATCTCTGGAGAATGTTCTAATTTAAAAAAAAAAAAAACATTTCACGTGTGAGCTGTAAGTATCTTTTTTTTCCCCTTAATTTTTTTTTGAAAAGTTTTTTCAGTTTTATTTTTTCTACACATAATGTAAAATGTACATTTTCTTATACATAATTAACCGTGCATGTATGTATTTTCCTTAAAGAAAGCCTTAAAATAAGACATTTTAATTTCATTTGGAGTTGCTCTTCTACCCTTTCTTTCCTCTTTTTGCAACAAACCTTCTTCTCCTCCTCCTTTCTTTCCCTTCCCAAGCTCCTCTCCTCTCCTACTTTCTCCTTCCTCTTCTCCTACCTCATCCTACTTCCCCTTCTTTCCCCCACTCCTCTCTTCATTCCCCCTTCTCCCCTTCTCTCCTACTCCTATCCCCTGCCCTTCCTTCCTCTCCTTTTTCCCTTTCTCCTTTCCTCTCATTCCCTCTCCTACTTCCCCTTCTTTTCCCCACTCCTCTCTTCTTTCCCCTTCTCTCCTACTCCTATCCCCTGCCCTTCCTTCCTCTCCTTTTCCCTTTCTTCCTTTCCTCTCATTCCCTCTCCTACTTCCCCTTCTTTTCCCCACTCCTCTCTTCGTTCCCCCTTCTCCCCTTCTCTCCTACTCCTATCCCCTGCCCTTCCTTCCTCTCCTTTTCCCTTTCTTCCTTTCCTCTCACTACCCTCTCCTCCCCTCTCCTTTCTATCTTCTTTGCTATATAATATTCTTCTTGTTTGGTATCCGAGCAACTCCTATCTTCTACTCATATATACTTTCTTTCAATTTCTTTTCAGATTTATTCTATCTATCTATATTATCATCATCATTGTACATTATTCCTATACTCTTCTTTCTCCCACCCAGTCCACTTTTCGAATTTCTCTGGTATCAACTAGATTTCAATTTCTTTTTTGATCTCTGCATCATATCTCCCCCGCCCTTAATAACCCGGTTAGGAGACAGTAAAGAATCATTAAATATTAAATATAATTTCTCGTTCTTTCTTTCTTTGCACAGCTAACCATTGGACACAAGATGGCATTGTCTTCTATCAGTTACGTAGGATGTTCCATTTCCATTTTCTGCTTGACTATCACGCTGGTCACGTTTGCAATTCTGTCGTGAGTAATTTTAACTTTTCTTCCCGCTGAGCCAATATCGGTCTGGAAATATAGATAGTCAGTTGGTGGGGGGGGGGGAAACCACCCCAAAAACTCCACTCAACTTCATTTTAAGGCCACTGGACTGAATGCTCTCAGGTGCTGAGCGTTTCATAAAAAAGGTTATTAATTCCTTAAACCTCCTTAATTGGATGCCCGCCCATATATTAGTAACACTCAGTTGAGTTTGGTGTAAATTACTTTAATTTCTTGGAAGTGGGAAGCTTTCAAACATAGCGGGTTATTTCCCTGTCATGAATTCTCAGGCTATTTACAGAAGCTTGGCATTCCCCATAGTAAAAGGTAAAGGTTCCCCTCGCACATATGTGCTAGTCGTTCCCGACTCTAGGGGGCGGTGCTCATCTCTGTTTCAAAGCCGAAGAGCCAGCGCTGTCCGAAGACGTCTCCGTGGTCATGTGGTCGGCATGACTCAACGCCAAAGGTGCACGGAACGCTGTTCCCTTCCCACCAAAGGTGGTCCCTATTTTTCTACTTGCATTTTTATGTGCTTTTGAATTGCTAGGTTGGCAGAAGCTGGGACAAGTCACGGGAGCTCACCCTGTTACGCAGCACTAGGGATTCGAACCATTGAACTGTCGACCTTTCGATCGGCAAGTTCATCGTCTTAGCCACTGAGCCACCGTGTCCCCATAGTGAGTTCCCACAAAAGCCTGAGAACTCCAGGTCCCAAACTTGCAACAAAAAAATTGAGAGATTCGGGACTTGTAGTCCTAAAGCATCTTGAGTGAGCATGTTGGAGAAGATAGCAGAAATTTCTTTGAACCCCCCCAAGATGTTGAAATGAGGAAGGGACCAGTGGTGAGATGAATAGGAGGGTCTGCGATGGGCAGAAGTTAAGATAAGGATGTTATTGTAAGATCGTTGTGCCACGCTTTGGATTTGACTGCAAGAAAAAAAAAATGCTTTGCAAGAGTGACAAATTAAGCACCTGTGTGCAGTCCTTTAGAGAAACCCGTTTTGTCAGGCACAAAAGACCAGGTTTACACATGAAGGAATAGTTAAATTGATTCATTGCTAAAAAAAAAAAGGTGCTAGAATGTACGGAGATGGACAGGCTAACAATGGAAATAAAAAAAAAGAGGAGAAATGGATTATTATTTGATTTGGGACACATGGTATATTTGGTTAGAGAACAGAAATAAAGAATAAGAACATAAAGATAATATAAGAAGTATTTTTAAGTTAAAAGTTTTAAGTTTTTAGTGCTTTCGAACTGCTAGGTTGGCAGAAGCTGGGACAAGTCACGGGAGCTCACCCCGTTACGCGGCACGAGGGATTCAAACCGCTGAACTGCCGACCTTTCGATCGACAAGCTCAGCATGTTAGCCACTGAGCCACCGCATCCCCATAGTGGGTTCCCACAAAAGCCTGAGAACTCCAGGTCCCAAACTTGCAGCAAAAAAAATTGAGAGATTCGGCACTTGTAGTCCTAAAGGCATAAAGATAATTTACGAAGTATTTTTAAGTTAAAAGGTAAAATATATAATTACGAACAATAATACAGTATATAGAACAGATATGTATTTAAAGGGTAAGGAAGAATAATGAAAATAACTGATATGTACTAATGAGCGATACCAGTACTGGAACGCTGTAAAGATTGAAAATGTGATATAAAATGAAGAAAAACCTTCAATAAAAACATGTTAAAAATTGGTTCATTGCTAAAAGCCTAGGCGCAGGAATCTTTTCAGCTAAGGATTAGAACCTGCTCGGAGTTAGATAAGGGTCAACAGAATTTAAGGGACGTTGGACTTAGTTCACTAGTGACTACGTAGGGATTCTAGGCGGATCCCTTTCTTGACCCCGCCCTCAGGTTCTGCCCCTCCTTCTCCTGCCCTTCTTTTCTCAGAACCGTTTCACATGCACCCCTCAAAGCATCTTTACAAATTTCATAAGTAATGATAATAATTATAAGTTACCGAGCAGAACTGAATTGGAAGCATCGCAAAACCTTAGAGTTGTGGGTTAATCGGGAGGAAGGCTGTGCTTTCCTCTAGTCGGATGGATCAAAGGTGGGGAGCAACTTAGCCTTCCATACCGGATGTCCTTCAAAGGGATGGCCCGAAGAGCTTTGGTGAGGAGGCAGATAAGAAGAAGAATTTGCAGATGTTTGGGGATTATAATGACTGGAAGATCCATCAAAATGTCTCAACCTGGTTAGGCTTACAGGCAATTCCAGACCTGCAGTCTCAATTCATTTAGAGGCCCCCCAGGTTGAAGCAAGGGACGTGGTGGGTCAGTGGCTAAGATGCTGAGCTTGTCAATCGAAAGGTCGGCAGTTCAGCAGTTCAAATCCCTAGAGCCATGTAAGCTCCCATGACTTGTCCCAGCTTCTGCCAACCTAGCAGTTCGAAAGCATGTAAAAAATGCAAGTAGAAAAATAGGGACCACCTTTGGTGGGAAGGGAACAGCGTTCCGTGGGCCTTTGGCGTTGAGTCATGCTGGCCACATGACCACGGAGATGTCTTCGGACAGCGCTGGCTCTTCGGCTTTGAAACGGAGATGAGCACCGCCCCCTAGAGTTGGGAACAAGTAGCACAGATGTGCGAGGGGAACCTTTACCTTAGGCTGTAGAAAGGGGTGTCAGTTCTTCGTGGGATTATCCAGGAGGCATGTTGTCTTGATCAGTTAGGCTTCAATCAACAAGAATTACTCGACAACCTCAATGGAGAACTCTGTTTTGCATGATGTCCCAGCAAACCCTACAATTGTGTGAAATGCAGTGTAGAGAGCCAGCTGGGAGGCAATTTCTCTAAATTTCTGAAATCAGTTTAGCAGACTGAACAAATCAGATGCTTCCAAACCAATCCAGATGATGATCTTTCCGGAGTGCAGATGCAGAAACATTTCCTTACGCTTCGATTCAGAAATCTGAATGGAAGGCCAACTCTACTGAGCATTTCATCCGAACCAGGGGTGAAATCCAGCAGGTTCTGACAGGTTCTGGAGAACCGGTAGTGGAAATTTTGAGCAGTTTGGAGAACCAGCAAATACCACCTCTGGATGGCCCTAGAGTGGGGTGGGAATGGAGATTTTCCAATATCCTTCCCCCAGGAGGGAATGGGGATTTTGCAGTATCCTTCCCCTGGAGTGGGGAGGGAATGGGGATTTTGCAGTATCCGTCCCCTGCCACACCCACCAAGCCATGTCCACCAAACCACACCCACACAATCGGTAGTAAAAAAAATTGGATTTCACCACTGATCCAAACCCAATCCCATCGATCTCGTGAATGGTGTTGGATCCATGTTGGATCAGACCGGTTCCTTTTATTCAAATGACCTGGGGCCCTTCCAAGGAGATTTTACTTAATTCACCCAAACGTAGCAAATAACAAGGCTTATGGTTATCCTCAGCTGGATGGTTCTCTGAGAAATATTTTGCTTAGCCTTCCAGAATGCCAATTTAACTCTGCTTTTGGGAGGCTAATAATACGTTTTTCTTATTTCCATATATATAGCGAAATCACTTCAAGGTAGAGAATGCGACAATGAGGTATTTACGAAGTGCCAGATTTTGAACTGACTATGCAAATGGCCTTCTCGATCGATCTGGCTCACTTCATTTGAGCCTCGTTTGCCTCGTCCAGTGAGTTACTCACGCTTACGCATCTGAAGGGGATCAGACCCAAACATATTAACGTAAAACCACTTGGGCTGATTCTCAAAAGAGATGTGCTCTGATTGAAAGCCCAGAAGGTTAGGTAAAGGCAAAGGTTCCCCTCCCATATACGTGCTAGTCGTTCCCGACTCTAGGGGGCGGTGCTCATCTCTGTTTCAAAGCCGAAGAGCCAATGCTGTCCGAAGATGTTTCCGTGGTCATGTGGCCGGCATGACTCAACGCCAAAGGCGCACTGAACAGTGTTCCCTTCCCACCAAAGGTGGTCCCTATTTTTCTACTTGCATTTTTTACCTGCTTTCGAACTGCTAGGTTGGCAGAAGCTGGGACAAGTCACGGGAGCTCACCCCATTACGCAGCACTAGGGATTCGAACCGCTGAACTGCCGACCTTTCGATGGACAAGCTCAGCGTCTTAGCCACTGAGCCACCATGTCCCAGTCGCGGTGACCCAGAAGGTTAGGGGGATACCAATAAAGGTCTTGGAAAGCACCAGAACCTCTCAGATTAGGGTGAAAACCCCCAAATGAATGGGGGAAATATTCAGTGCTGGGATTCAGCCAGTTCGCACCACTTCGGGAGAACCGGTTGTTAACTTTCTGAGCAGTTTGGTGAATCGGTTGTTGGAAGAAATCATTAGGGCAGAGAACCGGTTGTTAAATTATTTGAATCCCACCACTGGAAATATTCATATTTCCTCTCTTCGCTTCCCTCGTTGGGGGCGAGTACAAATTCTAGGAATTTATTCTACTTCCCTTATGTGGAACGTAAAAACCTTTCGGCATTGTCATTTGGTTTTTAATTAGTGTTATTAAATCCAGAGGCATTTCGGGAAAGGAGGGGAGATGCATTCCCCTCCCCTTTTTTTTCCCAACTTTGCTGAATGCCAGGAATGTTGTGTGAGCCTGCAGAGAGGCTGTGTCTATCAAACGACTTTAAAAAAGCAGCGGAATCTAGTTAATATTGCAAAAGTTCATTGCATGGGTGCCAAGCAGGGTTGGCCTCGGGAAAGTACTACCCCAATTAGAACCTAATTTTGTAACCTTGCCTTCCTAACTGGAGGGCTAAGCCAATTAAGAGGAGAGAGGGAGAGAGAAAGAGAGAGAGAGGGATGGATGTCATGGCTTCTGATGTAGAAGTGATAGGAACTTGGTTATGTGGAATGGAACTCATCTTGGTGGTCCTCTCAAATGGATGGCAACAGATTCTCCGTTTTTTCTGTCGACCAGTGTTTCTCCAGCTTGGCAGCTTTAAAACGGATGGACTTCAACTCCCAGTACTCTACTGACATACCATATTTTTCGGAGTATAAGATGCACCTTTTTCCCCCCCTAAAAGGGGGTGAAAATTTAGGTGCGTCTTATACACCGAATGTAGCCCCGCCCACTCACTGGCCCCCACCCTCCTTACAAGCAAACAGCACTTACCTCCTTGCAAGCAAACAGCAAGAAAAAACAGCTCCTTTTAGCTTCAGCACAGCCTAATTAGCACAAGTTGATTGGAACGGCCTCCCGACTCTCAGCTGATTTGCTCTCAGCTGTTTTGCGCAGGGCTCTGCTGCAGGCAAGAAAATTGCTGGAGCAGATTTTTTTCCCCCCCTTGTGTTAATCAAGCTATGCTGAAAACGAAACTGAAAGTAAAGCAGGCTGTTCGCTGTTTGCTGCAAGGAGGCAAAATTGCTCAGAGGCAGAGGCAGAGGGAGATTTCTTTTTCTTTGTTTCCTCACCAAAAAAGGTAGGTGTGTCTTATACTCCGAAAAATATGGTATTTTAATTTTCAAAGTACTCCCAGAACTCCCCAACCCAATATTTAAATTTTCAGAGTGCTAATAGATGTGCCTCTTTTTTCCCCCCCAGCTCTGTCAGTACCATCCGCAACCAGCGTTATCACATCCATGCCAATCTTTCCTTTGCAGTCTTGGTGGCTCAGATCTTGCTCCTTATCAGCTTCCAGTTTGACCCTGGGACGGTGAGTGAAATGGATATTCTTCTGACTTGGGCATCAATGGCAGAGAATAACAGAATATTGGAAGGACCTTGGAGGTCCTCTAGTCTAACCCCCTGCTCAAGCAGGAGACCCTATACCCGTGATGGCGAGCCTATGGCACGTGGCACGTGGAGCCATATCGGTGGGCAAGCGAGCATTGCCCTAGCTCAGCTCCAGCACGCATGTGCGCGCCAGCCAGCTAATTTTTGGGCCCACCGGAAGTCGGGAAACAGACTGTTTCCCGCCTCCAGGGGGGGGAGGCCATTTTTGCCCTCCCCAGGCTCCTAGAAAGCCTCTGGAGCCTGGGGAGGGCAAAAAACAGGCCTTCTGGTCTCACTGGAAGTTGAGAAACGGGTTGTTTCCGGCCTCCAGAGGGCCTCGGGGGGGAGGAGAGGCCATTTTCACCCTCCCCAGGTTCCAAGAAAGATACTATGGGTGTGGGTGCGTGCACGTGCGACCCCCCCCCGGGCGACCCCCGCTTTTGGCACGCAATGGCAAAAAGGTTAGCCATCACTGCCCTATACCATTTCAGACAAGTGGCTGTCCGATTTCTTCTTAAAAACCTCCAGTGATGGAGCATGCACAATTTATCACAATTTATGTTAATTTATCCAGCTAATTATAGAAAATGTAAGGGGCCGAACTGAGTCATTTTGGCCCGGTCTACCCAGTGTGAAGAGCAATTTGGGGAGTGGCATCAATTTGGCCACAGTGTTGTGGCCCGTCAGCAGCCGGTGCAGCTAGTAGCTGATTCCGACAGTGAGGAGGCTGGTGTGGTGCTGCGCCAGCAGCCTGGGCAGCTGGCACTCGAGTCGGACAATGAGGAGGCTGGAGAAGATGTGGTGCCAGAGGCGGGGATTCAGCCACGGCCTTCAGAACCTCCAGAAACTCCCATAAGTGAAGAGGACGAAGAGGAGGAGCCCCTTCTCGATGCACGGGCATGTAGAGCTGCCAAAAGGCAGGAGTGGCTCCTCAGGAGGAGGTTTCCTTGAGAGTAAGGTTTGGGGCTAATTGGCCATTCCCTTAGCCTATTTAAGGAGGAACGCCAACTGAAGCAATTTTCAGGAAACAACTCCATTCACATACCTTCGTGTCTTGTCTTGCTTATCAGCTTCCTGCAAATTGCTTCTGGGCATTCCGCCAACCACAGTAAGCTTTCAGTATTATTCTTTGAATTCTTGGCGGCTGTTAATGCAGTTAGTTAACAGCCAGTGTTGTAAAAAACTGGTTTATTTAGTAAACTAAGGTTTGAACGGACTTTGCGTGTGCTGCGTTCTTTGGGGTTCATAGCTGGGGCAGAACACACACCCACCCAGTCAGCCACGCCTACCTGGCCCCCCAAGGTCAACCTCAGCCGCGATGTGGCCCTCAATGAAATTGAGTTTGACACCCCTGCCCTCTACCATTTCAGACAAATGTGTTGTCCAATCTCTTCTTAAAAAACTCAGGTGATGGAGCACACACAACTTCTGGAGGCAAGACATTCCACCAGCTAATTGTCCTCACTGTCAGGAAATTCCTCCTTAGTTCTAGGTTGCTTCTCTCCTTGATTAGTTTCCATCTGTTGCTTCTTGCCCTGCCCTCAGGTGCTTTGGAGAATAGGTTGAGCCCCTCCTTTTTTGGCAGCCCCTCAGATATTGGAAGACTGCTATCATGCAGTACTGGGTTTCACTTACCTTCGCTACTGGTTTGGAACCGTGAGCATGTGCTCGCACTCGCTTCGCTCACACGTGGTGCTTCTGCACATGTCTGGGCAGGTGGGCGGAGCCTCCCACTGCTACAGGTTCTGATGATGTCCGGGTGGGTGGGCGAATCCTCCTGCTGCCGCCACTACAGTTTCGCCCGAACCCGTAGAAACCCATCACTGCTATCATGTTACCCTTAGTCCTTCTTTTCACTTTTCACAGAAGAACAGGACACGGCTCAGCTGAGAAATGTCTCAAAGCCTATCCAAATATTTATCTCTTCCACCCAATTTTGCCTAAACAGAACATTCCTGCGTGACAATGCACTTTGTGGCCCAATTCTGCCCTCCTTACTCTTTTGAAAGGCAGGCCCCGGCCTTTCGAAGCGGAGCCCTCTTTATTTTTAGACCATTTGTCACTGCGTTATTAAATGGCGGCCGCCGTGGTGACAGGCATATAATGCCGGTGGCATTTAAATAAGGAGGTTATTCGTTTCGCATTTGTTCGACAGTTGTCGGTACATGCTAACTGTGACAAATGTTTGTGTTTTCCCTGTATAATAAAGGCGGGGATGAATCACACCGCAGCGGTCGCTGTTTAACTCGATAATTAATACTATTAATAACCGTAATGATAATCATGTGGTTTCATCGGAAATTCTCCTGGCATTTGGTCAAATGTGGACTCCCTTTTTTTTTTCTTTCCCTGGGAGGGAAAAAACAGCACAGCAAAGAGGCAATAAAATGTGAGGAAGAAATTGTATTTGCGATATTTTTCTTTTTTAACTGATAACGTGTCCCGTGGTTTTTCCCTCACATATGTGTGAACGTTGATCAAACAGGCTGAAACTCCCATTTACAAAATAGAAAACCGATTTCATTCATTCAACGTAACAACGTTCTATCTGGTTCCAGTTTATTGGAGCAGAGTTGACAGTTTCGAAGGTTCTTCCTTTTTTTCCCCCCCCCCAGTCCTAGGGGAAAAAAAAAAATCAAAGTAATAACAGCAGCGGAAATTTTCTCTATTCGTCAGTTTGAGAGGACGGCGTACGGAGGCTGCCATTTTTTTCCCCCTGCGGTGCTCTGAAATTGTTATGATTATTATGGGTTGCTGTTGTGCATTTTGCCGGTTAAGGGGGGGAAAAAGCAACTTAGAAATAAATGGGTTGTATTCAGCGACTTTGTAATCCATGTTTCGTTCACAATGGGGACGTGTATAGAATAAATAAAAGAGTTGGAAAGGACCCTGGAGGTCTTGTAGTCCAACCCTCCGCTCGAGCAAGAAACCCTATACAGTATCACATAGAATGGAATGGAATGGAATGGAATGGAATGGAATGGAATGGAATAGAATAGAATAGAATAGAATAGAATAGAATAGAATAGAATAGAATAGAATAGAATAGAATAGAATAGAATTCAATTCTTTATTGGCCAAGTGTGATTGGACACACAAGGAATTTGTCTTGGTGCATATGCTCTCAGTGTACATAAAGAAAAAATAAAATATATTCGTCAAGAATCATAAGATACAACACTTAATGACAGTCATAGGGTACAAATAAGCAATCAAATCATACTAGGAAACAATATCAATATCAATCGTAAGGATACAAGCAATAAAGTTACAGTCATGGAGTCATAAGTGGGAGGAGTTGGGTGATAGGAACGATGAGAAGATTATAGTAGTGCAGACTTAGTGAATAGGAGCCTGGATAGCTCTGCAGATTAAGCACTGTAATTTAACACCAGCTGTCTGCAATTAAAGTAAGTTTGAATCTTGCCAGGCTCAAGGTTGACTCAGCCTTCCATCCTTTCTAAGTAGGTAAATTGAAGACCCAGTTTGTGGGGGCAATAAGCTGACTTTGTATAAAATATACAAAAGTATGAAGGCTATTGCTTAATGCACTGTAAGCTGCCCTGAGTCTCCGGAGAAGGGCGGCATATAAATCAATTTTTTTTTAAAAAAATAGTTTGACAGTGTTGAGGGAATTATTTGTTTAGCAGAGTGATGGCGTTCGGGAAAAAACTGTCCTTGTGTCTAGTTGTTCTGGTGTGCAGTGCTCTATAGCGTCGTTTTGAGGGTAGGAATTGAAACAGTTTATGTCCAGGATGCGAGGGGTCTGTAGATATTTTCACAGCCCTCTTTTTGACTCGTGCGGTATACAGGTCCTCCATGGAAGGCAGGTTGGTAGCCATGGTTTTTTCTTCTGCAGTTCTAATTATCCTCTGAAGTCTGTGTCTCTCTTGTTGGGTTGCAGAGCCAAACCAGACAGTCCTATCTCAAACCTTGGTCCAATCAGGCAAACTGCCAAAGGCCTTTCTTGGCAAACGTTCAGAAGTCACAGATACAAAAAAAAATACAAGACGTGGACGAAGAAGAAGACGAAGCTACCAATGTTGTTTTCCGGCAAAGCCCAAATGCCGTTACTGGTCTGTTTTAAGCCTTATGGGAGGGGCCAATCATCTCTTGGCCCTACTCCTGAGTCGTCCTCTTTGCTTGAGCTGCTTTTGCCTTCTGGCTGCTCTTTGCATGCGTGCACTAGGAACAGGCTCCTCCTGTTCCTCTGCCTCTCTACTGTCAGCCTCTGGAGGCTCTGGAGTCTGCACCTCACTCCCCGATGGCCCTGGCCCCATCTCTGCCTCCGACGCAGAGCCCTCATCCGGGCCTTCCCCAGCCTCCAGGATTGGCCTATGTTCTTCCTCAGCCTCATCGCTGTCCGACTCCGCTGCCAGCTCCGCAGGCTGCTGGCGGACCACAACAATACCCAAGTCTACATGAGAAATCCATACTGCTGGAATCTTATTCCTATAGATCAGTGATGGTTAACCTTTTTGGTGCCGAGTGCCCATCGCACGCTCGCCCCTGCATGCGAGTCCACGCGCACGTGCCCCAATCTCTAAAATGCAATACAAGCACCCCCCGTGCATGAGCGCACGTTCCCCGTGCATGCACCCCTGGTGCATGTGCCCTGCCCATTTTGGCTTCCAAGTTGGTTCTCCTGCATTTCTGCCACCCGTACCTTCCCCGATCTCCTCAGTTTGTTCCCCCAGCGTGCGCTAACTTTCTCCTGCATTTTTGCCTCCCATGCCTTCCCTGATTTCCTCAGTTTCTCCCCACAGCGCACGCTACTTTTCTCCTGCATTTCTGCCTCTCGTGCCTTCCTCGATCTCAGTTTCTCTCCCCCCCAGCATGTGTTACCTTTTTCCCCCCAGCATGCCCTAGCTTTCTCCTGCATTTCTGCCACGGAGAGGCACCTGTGGAGGGTGGAACCTGTGCATGCACAGCAGAGACCCGAAGACCAGCTGGCTGGCAGGAGGTGCGTGCACATGCGTGGTGGAGCTGGGCTGGGTGACGGCTGGCGTGCCCGGAGAGAGGGCCCTGCATGCCACCTGTGGCACATGTGCCATAGGTTCACCATCACGGCTATAGATAGACAGGTTTAGATCAATTATCTCTTGATTTAGGACTGATGTGAACAGTCCTCAGAAGGACCATCTCATTGTCCCTATCTGGAAGCTGGTTGATCAAATAACATCATCTCGATGACAGATAGACTATAGCTCCCCAGGAAGCCTGGAGCAGGTGGTCGGATTTTGTTAACCTTGATTGATCTCCCAAAATGTCATCAAAAAATCCCAGCAGTGTAAGTTAGACAGAGAAGTAAAAATAAAATAAAAAAATCCTGAGGATGAGAGAATGTCAAAAACGTCCATCTGGATATGTCCATGAAGTCTGGAGGAACTTAAGAGAAAATTAAAAAAAAATATGTCTAGACAACAAGGAAAAAGGTGTGGGAATGGAGTTCTCTTGAAACTTCTCTCTAATGCACCAAGGATCCAGTCATGGAGAAGAGTAGAAGCAGCATTCTCATCTCCGCAAGGCAACAAGGTGACACTTCAGCGAATGTTGCCTAGGTAAACTGAGTCACCCGGTTGCTAAGCAACCTGACAATGTTCTTCCAATGAAGAGAAGGAAGCACATCTGTGACAGGTGGCAGCAGAGATGCTGACCTACAGAAGATTGGGGGAAAAAAATGATAAACAAACAAAAAAAGAAGATTGGGTGACTTTCTTTAACAAGAAGAAAAATCCCTCTGTGCCTGGATTCCAGTGGATGGGAAAGAAGGAGATGAGATGTTAAGACCAGGATGAAGGGCAAAAAAGTGAGATGGAGGAAAATGGCATCAATTGTAGCCGATTCTCTATCCAACTTCTCTGAGTTACTCTCATGGCTCATAAATCTGATTTTCTGTCCACCTAAGGCCAATTTAAACCTCTCACTCTTCTCTGGTGGTATCAGTTTTCTTCTGATCACCCCTTCTAGCTCATCAGAGGCACCTCCTGACAGGGAGAAGAATTAGACAGTAGAATGACGTGCCTCCAGAAGTTGTGAGTGCTCCAACACCAGTGGTGGGTTTCTCATTATGTTACTACAGGTTTGCCGCGCATACACTCGTTTCATGCACATGCGTGCCCGGTTCGTGCATGCACCTGCCTTCCACACATGCATGCGCTTTGCTCACACGCATGCCTTTTGCGCATTCTCGGCCTCAAAAAATGTGTCTAAATACCGGTTCAGGCGAACCGGTCTGAACCAGCTGAATAAACCATCTCTGTCCCAACACTGAATATTTTTGAGAAGAGATTGGACAACCGTCTGTCTGAAATGGTATAGGGTTTCCTGCTTGAGCAGGGGGTTGGACTAGAGGACCTCCAAGGACCTCCCTTCGAACTCTGTTACTCCACTATTCTCCTTGAGAGAGCAGGACCAGTATTCAGTTTGCAAAGATGCAACATATGGGGAAAAACTACTGGTGAAATCCAATTTTTTTTTATACTGGTTCTGTGGGCGTGGCTTGGTGGGCATGGTGTGGCTTGGCAGGTGTGGCTTGGTGGGCGTGGCAGGGGAAGGATACTGCAAAATCCCCATTCCCTCCCCACTCCTGGGGGAAGGATATTGCAAAATCCCCATTCCCACCCCACACCTGGGGAAAGGATATTGCAAAAACGCCTGGGGGAAGGATATTGCAAAATCCCCATTCCTTCCCCAATCCTGGGGCCAGCCAGAGGTGATATTTGCCTGTTCTCCAAACTCCAAATTTCCACTGCCGGTTCTCCAAATTGCTCAAAATTTCCACTGCCGGTTCTCCGAACTGCTCAAGATTTCCGCTACCGGTTCTCCAGAACCTGTCAGAACCTGCTGGATTTCACCCCTGGGAAAAAAAGACTCCTCAGATTTCCTAAGCAAGATCAGATATTTTTTTCTTCTCGCTGCCTAGTGCAGTGTTTTTCAACCTTGGCAACTTTTAAGATCTGTGGATTTCAGTTCGCACAATTTGCCAGCCAGCCCTGCTTATCTTAAAGTTGCCAAGGTTGAGAAACACTGGCCCAGTGGATCACTTTTAACACAACCCAAACACGACAAACACTCTGTAGTTAAATAAATGTTCCCTTTATTAGGAGCGCCAGCAGCCCCGGCTAAAAGTCTCTCTCTCTCACACACACCGCAGGCTAACAAGTCTGTCCGGCAGGGAGAAGAATAGTTGTCTGCCACACCTATTCATCTCTGCCATCTGCCTTTTATCCCCAGAGCTAAGGGTGGAGCTTTGCTAGCAGCGAAGGCTCTTCCGTCCCAAGGACCGGCCCATAGATTTCCACTGCTCTCCTCTCCTCTGCCTTCTGTGCATCCGTGCGTCAGGCACTGGACCCAGCTGCTCCTCCTCTTCCTCATCAGCCACCTCCAGACCTGGAGGCTGATGATTCTCCAGCTGAAGGCTGATGGACAGCCCAGGCTCCGCCTCTTTCTCTCTCTCTGCCAGCTCCATTCTCTCTTCCCCCTCGGAGCTCTCAGGTTGCCTTGATGCTGGTCCTGACTCCCACGCCTCCTCCTCCTCCTCCTCTGATTCGGCTGCTGGAGGAGCCGGCAGCCGACAGACCACAACACTTAGGCTCCAAAAAAAAAAAAAAAAAAAAAGCATCAACCAACAAGAAGGAACTGAGAGCTTTAAAAGTCCATGATGTCCTATTGATGCAAATCTTGTTGGACAAGATATTTGGCGAGCTCTTAAAATCTCCCTTCTCTTAATACAATTTTAATCTCACTTTCCGCGGAATGAATCCATTTCTTGATTTCATAACCATGAAGCTTACTTTCCAGGGAATTTACATATTTATGAATTTAATCCATTCACATGGCCGTCCGCCTGGTAGATATGACTCTCGGCGACTAACTATTAAAGATGAAATAAAAACAGGTTAAGAACAACTTTTAACCATCTGAACGCCAATAGCATAAAATAGCAGCTGAGAACATTCAAATCCACCATGAAATGGGCTACACCCACAGTCGTAGAGCCCCAGGCTTGATGACAATGTAAGGATGATAATATCTGGAGAAAGGCCAGCAGGGTTGGGGGGGGGCAATCTGATGTAAATTCTCAACCCACCCAGGGTATGATTCTCCCGAAGGTGCTTTTTCAAAAGGCAACTGGACTTTGGTTTTTTTTTCCCTTGAAGATGTTTCGCTTCTCATCCAAGAGGCTTCTTCAGTTCTGACTAAAGTCAGAAGCCTGAAATCATAAGCCAGAACTGAAGAAGCTTCTTGGATGAGAAGCGAAACATCTTCAAGGAAAAAAAAAAACAAAGTCCAGTTGCCTTTTGGAAAAAGCACCTTTGGGGCGGCCATTCTGATGGTGTGCATGTGTGTATGTAAGTGTGTGTGTGTGTGTGTGTGTGTGAGAGAGAGAGAGAGAGAGAGAGAAAGAGAAAGAGGGAAAGAGAAAGAAAGAGAAGAAAGAAAGAAATGAAAGAAAGAGCAAAAAGAGAAGAAAGAGAAAGAGAGAGAGAGAGAAGAAAAGAGAAAGAGAGAGAGGGAAAGAAAAAGAAAAAAATGAAAGGAAGAGAGCAAAAAGAGAAGAAAGAGAGAGAGAAGAAAAGAGACAAGGGGAGAAAGAGAGAGACAGAGAGAGAGAGAACGGGAGAGAAACAAAAAGAAAGCAAAAGAGAGAAAGAGAAAAAAAGAAAGAGAGAGAGAGACAGGGAAAGAGAAAGGGAAAAAGAAAGAAAGGATGAAAATAAAGAAAGAAAACCACGAAACTAAGAGAGCAAAAAGAGAAGAGAAAAAGAGAGAGAGGAGAAAAAAGAAAAAGGGAGAGAGAGAGAACAGGAGAGAAACAAAGAGAGAGAAAGCAAAAGAGAAGAAAAAAAGAAAAACCCATTTTGACCATCTGGGGCAAGGGTGGGAAGACTTCTTCTCCTCGCCTTTCCTGTTCATTGAGCTGGTTTGCCTTCTTTGCAGGTGCCTTGCAAAATCCTGGCGATTCTCCTTCACTTCTTCTTCTTGAGCACCTTCGCTTGGATGCTGGTGGAAGGGTTCCATCTCTACAGTATGGTGATCAAAGTCTTCGGATCGGAAGAGAACAAGCTCTTATACTACTACGGCATTGGATGGGGTAAGTCAGGTCTTCTTTTACCCTTCAAAGGAAAAAAAAAGAGAGACAATAATGATGACTTCTGGTACAGATTAACAGAGTTGGAAGGGGCCTTTGTAGGTCATCTAGTCCAACCCTCTGCCCAAGCAGGAGACCTTACACCATTTCTGACAGATGGCAGTCCAGTCTCTTCTTGAAAGCTTCCAGTGATGAAGCTCCCACAACTTCTGAAGGCAACTTCTGTTCCATTGGATGGTTGTTCTCACTGTCAGAAAGTTCCTCCTTATTTCCAGGTTGAATCTCTCCTTGGTCAGTTTCCATCCATTGTTCCTTGTCTGGCCTTCAGGTGCTTTGGAAAAAAGCTTGACCCCCTTCCTCCTCTCTGGGGCAGCCCCTCAAATATTGGAAGACTGCTCTCCTGTCTCCCCGGTCCTTCTCTTCACTAGACTAGCCAGGCCCAGTTCCTGCAACCGTTCATCGTATGTTTTAGTCTCCAGTCTCCTAATCATCCTGATACTGAACCACTGATAAATTCGGAAGAAAGAATACTAGAAAAAGTTGAAAGGATCACATACCTCAGTTCTAATTTACATGAAAGCTGGGACACGACCACGGAAGTAAAGACAAGGATAGAGAAAGCTCAAAAAGCATTCTTCAAAATGAAAAAGGTCTTCTGCAGTCATGATATAAGCCTAAAATTAAAAATTAAGGATTGTCAGATGCTACATCTTTTCTATCCTGCTCTACGGAGTGGAGAGTTGGTCTCTGACAGAAAACCACTTGAAGAAACTAGAAGCATTTGGAATGTGGATTTACAGGCGGCTGTGACATATAAGATGGGTTGACAAAATCAGAAATGAGGAGATGATAAGCTGCCTGGGAAAGCCAAGGGAAATCATCAAAACCATAAAAAAGCAAAAGTTTGAATATTTTGGACATGTGATCCAAATATTTTCGACATGTGATCCAAATATTTTCGACATGTGATGCGACACCCAGAAAAGTACAGCATCCTTCACTTAATCCTCCAAGAAAGTTTGAAGCCAAACAAAGTCCAGGCAGGAGAAGGACATCATGGCTTCAAAATCTAAGGGACCGGTTTGGACAAAACTCAACAGTGCTTTTTCGTTGCGGCTGTTGATAAAAATAGGATCGCCAACATGATCGCCAACGTCCGATGACGGATATGGTACAACAAGAAGAAGAATGATATCTTCACGGGCGTAGAAGAAGCTTCCTGCAAGCCAACCGTCACTTTTTTTAGCAGCAACCCACCATTAACTGCTGAATATCGCAGCCCTGGATTGTGGTCTCCCACAAAATGTTCCGTGACTCCTTCATCTTCTTCCTTCTGATTCCTCTTCTTCTGACCTTCATCTTCTGCAAGAAGGTGCCAGGGAGGACATTTAGCTGGGTCTGTTGTGGCCCGCCAGCAGTCAGCAGAGCTGGTGGCAGACTCAGACAGTGAGGAGGTTGGGGAGGAACATGGGCCTGTCCTGGGGGCTGGGGAAAGCTCGGATGAGGGCTCTGCGTCGGAGGCAGAGAGGGAGTTAGACAGCAGTGAGGCAGAGAAACAGCTGGAGCCTGTTCCCAGTGTGCGCATGGGCAGAGCTGCCAGAAGACAAGAACAACTCAGAAAGCAGGGTCGACTTGGGAGTAAAGCCACACCTTGGAGGTAATTGGCCCTTCCCATAGGAAACAAAAGAGGAGTGAATGGGGAGTGGGCTTTTGCAGGAAACAATTCATTCATTCCATGACTCTGAGAGATTCTCTGCCAAGTTTTGCCTTGTACTGCATTTGGAAACAAGTTACGTGGCAGTTTGCCAAGCGAGATAAGGTCTGTGTTGATAAATATTCCTCTGAAAGACTGTTTGGACAGGACTTGCTGACTGTGAATGAAAGGAATTCACAGCTGTGTAAATAAAAGAGGTTTTGCTGGGACCAAGACTCTGCTTCCTGCTTTTTAAGGGAGCCTAGGTCAGAACAGGCTCTGATGAGGGCTCTGCGTCGGAGGCAGAGAGGGGGCCAGGGCTGTCTGACAGTTGTCAGCTGCCTTCAGAGTCGGACATCGGTGAGGCAGAAGAACAGCTGGATCCTGTTCCCAGTGTGCGCATGCGCAGAGTTGCCAGATGAAGGGAACAGCAAAAGAACAAGGGTCGACTCAGGAGTAAAGCTACAGGTGGATGGTGAATGGCCCCTCCCATGGGGAATAAAGAGGAGCGAAGGGGAGGGGAGTTTGCAGGAGACAATTAGTTCGTTTGGGTGAAGATCTGTTCCTGCATTCTTGCCAAGTATTGTCTGTTACAGTGTGGAGTCTGAAAGATATGGGCCTGGCACCTCTCCAAGCCTGATAAAGGTCGGTAATTGTGAACTATCTTGGAAGAGGAAAGACTTTGCTGGAGAGGGAATTCACTGTAAATTAAATAAAAGGGGTTTATCGGGACGAGGACTCGGCTTCGTGCTGCTGGGGAAGCCTAGGTCAGAAGAGGGCCTGCTGAGAATCCCCCGGATGTAGGATTTGGAAAACAGTTGGGGGAATCGGATGATCGTAGAAACATGGTTAGGAAGGTTTCTCTCCATTGAGTTCTATTGAGGAACTTCCATTCCAAGCTCCATTGAGATCTCAACATCCACTGGATGGCACAAGAGAAGAAAAAAACCAATCAGAATATCAGAGTATCCTCCTTAAATCTCAACAGTCTGGAATTTTTTTCTGCAGAAAAAATACAATTACTACCAACCTGCCTTCCATGGAGGACCTGTATACTGCACGAATCAAAAAGGGCTGTGAAACTATCTACAGACCCCTCGCATCCTGGACATAAACTGTTTTAACTCTTACCCTCAAAACGACGCTATAGAGCACTGCACACCAGAACAACTAGACACAAGGACAGTTTTTTCCCCAATGCCATCACTTTGCTTAACAAATAATTCCCTCAACACTGTGAAATAATTTACTAAGACTGGATTACTATTATTCTCCTCTTCCTTACTAGTATCTACCTCTTCCCACTTATTACTATAACCATGTTGCTTATTTATTTATATTATTTTTATTTGTTTCCTAGTACGATTTGATAGCTTATTAGTAACCTTGACTATCAGTAAGTGTTGTACCTTATGATTCTTGATGAATGTATCTTTTCTTTTTTTATGTACACCGAGAGCATCTGCACCAAAGACAAATTCCCTTGTGTGTCCAATCACACTTGGCCAATAAAGAATTTTAATCTAGTCTATTCTAAATGCAAAGAACCAAGGAATGCTTTCCCCACCCTAGGGAGGAAATGTTGGCCGTATATAAATTGGACAAATAAATAAATGAACTAATGTAAAAAGACCCTCCCTCCTTTCAGATTCTAATCAGAAAATTGCGCTATTACCTCTGGGATTCAGAGCCCTCTTACAAAACAGCCAGATTATCCTGCATGGAAAATAACGTCTCTCAATTCTTCAGCTTCCTTCTGAATCTTTCTTTTTTTACCCTTTTTTTTACCCTTCCTTCTGAATCTTCTTAATTACCTTTTTGCTAGTAATTAACCCATGCTTAGCATCTTAGAATATCAGAAAGGAAGTGCCAATATTGAATTATTATTATTTTTTTTTGGCATCAAACCTTCGAAGCTCCGTTCCTGATGGAAGGACTTATTTGTTATTTAATTTCTTGCTGGTCTGCTTGCTCGCTTCCTGGTTGAATTGCAGTTGAAAGGAACTAGATCCAGGCTGCAAAACTATTAAAGAAAGGTAGAACTTCTCCATACCTTTGCTATCTTCTAGATACCATGCCACACATTATTCTCTGGAGTCTCAATTATGGAAGATATTTGTAACTCAGGGGTGAAGTTATCCTTGGTGCTCTCTGAGCTTGGTTGTTTTTTTACAGATGTTGAATTACTCAATCTAGGTAGCATCATCAGTTCTTGGTGCTCTCTAAGCTTGGTTGTTTTCTTACAGATGTTTCATTACCCAATTTAGGTAGCATCATCAGTTCTTGGTGCTCTCTGAACTTGGTTGTTTTTTGCAGATGTTTCATTACCCAAACTAGGTACCATCATCCATTCTTGATGCTCTCTAAGCTTGGTTGTTTTCTTACAGATGTTTCATTACTCAATCTAGGTAGCATCATCAGTTCTTGGTGCTCTCTGAACTTGGTTGTTTTTTTGCAGATGTTTCATTACACAAACTAGGTACCATCATCAGTTCTTGGTGCTCTCTGAACTTGGTTGTTTTCTTACAGATGTTTCATTACTCAATCTAGGGTAGCATCATCAGTTCTTGGTGCTCTCTGAACTTGGTTGTTTTTTTTGCAGATGTTTCATTACCCAAACTAGGTACCATCATCAGTGCTGATGATGTTACCTAGTTGGGTAATAAAGCATCTGCTGAAAATAATCAAACTCAGAGAGCATCAAGGACCCCTCATCTCTGTGGTCTACTCCTAGGGACCTAGCTGTCCCTAATTAGAAGAATTCATATTCATCGCAATTAATTCACTTCCAACAAATTAGAGATGAGTGTTTTTTAAATACCCACAAGTATCTGGCAGACTGTTTTTCTGTTTAAACAACTGTTTGTAGAACATCTCTGCGGGGGTCTTTCTTGATTGCCTTGGCTCTTGAAACACAGTCCTTTTTATATCCAACATTGTACTTGCCTTCCTTATCTTCTGGGTTCATTCAAAGCAGGCTGTGCTAAAGACATTTGCCAAAATGTAGAAAAAAAGAAAAAATCCTATAATAATTGTAAGACGGAGGAGCCGGTATCCTGAAACCTAATCTGAACTAATGGAGGAAACAGGAATGACTGAATCCAACCATTACTCCGGATATTTTGGACAAGAAATGAACGTTAAAGAATTATGAGGCTCAACACTAGCAGCCATTGCTCAAGAAACCCTATTTGTCCCCAAATGCAATTTATGGTTTTTTAATGATTCATTTCATGTTTAATATACTTATGACTCAGCTGGATCTCCAGCTGTGCAGAATTCCACGGATTTGGCATCCGAAATCAACCTTCTGACAAAGAAGAGCTTGTTATGGAAAAAAAGATGGATGGATGGATGGATGGATGGATGGATGGATAGATAGATAGATAGATAGATAGATAAGAGATAGATGATAGGATAGATAGATAGATAGATAGATAGATAGATAGATAGATAGATTATAATCTATCTATCTAAGATAGGTAGGTAGGTAGGTAGGTAGATAGATGATAGATAGATAGATAGATAGATAGATAGATAGATAGATAGATGATATAGATAAGAGCTAGATGATAGAATAGATAGGTAGGTAGGTAGGTAGGTAGGTAGAAAGATAGATAGATAGATAGATAGATAGATAGATAGATAGATAGATAGATTAGAATCTATCTATCTAAAACATAGATAGATAAATAGGTAGGTAGGTAGGTAGGTAGATAGATAGACAGATAGACAGATAGATACATACATAGATACATAGATACATAGATAGATGGATGGATGATAGGATAGATAGATAGACAGACAGACAGACAGACAGAAGATAGAGATATATACAGATAGATAGATAGATGGATAGATAGATAGATAGATAGATAGATAGATAGATAGATAGATAGATAGATAAGGGGAGAGGGACTTTATCTGGACCAGGTTATTTTACCTGAATTCCAAGAATTTTTGGAAGCAGATGACATTATGTGTAATAATAGCAGAATATTTTCATTGCCTCCTTTAATTCTCCCTGCATCTGTTACTCTCCCTGCTCTACAAAAGTATAAAATCAAGACATTCGGGGCGGATTCCACTTTTAAGCTAAGCGACAACTTTGTGTGAGTGAAACAAAACCGTAATGCATCTGTTTCTAATCTCTCAACAGTCGGCTAAGAATTCTGAACCTATTTTATTATAGAGTCAATCTATCGCTGTTAAACTTCCAGCCAAGCATTGAAACGAGGGCACCCACCCACCGAGGGAGACATCCTAAAACAATTTCAATCTCATGACCTTAAATGGATTTAATTCTTTGCCGTGTCTCGAGGGGTTGAGCCTTCCAAGGCAATCTGTTTATTTCAGATTAGCCAAATAATCCCAGTTGCATTTAGCCGTGGCGATCCACCAACTCCTGCCTGCATTTTACCCAATGTACCTTCCTCATTTTCCATTATAACACACGCAATACCCAACGCCCACACCATCTCAGCAAGGAGGAACTTTAGCAGCAGATCCTGTTACGTGCCCAAAATTATTTCTCCAGTTATCCAGTTGGCTAGTCTGCATTTCACCTACTCCATAAATTTCATTATCTTACCAAGAAACTCTCTGTTTAATTTTCTTCTTCGATGCAACTCTGAGCTGATAAATAATAAAGTTAAACCCCAGGAACATCTGAGATGCACTTTGAGGGGTGGGGGGAAAATGAGCCAGATTACAGCTATTTAACACCTTGGCTGAACTCTCTTTTCGGGGGTAACAGGAATATTTACGAGCGTTTATTCTTTTATTATATTTTTTCCTCCCGTGCTTAAGCTCTCGTCCGATTCAGAAGCTCTCATTGAAATGGATCTTTAGCATCTATCAAAGAAGAAAAAGAAGAAAGTCAAAGGGAATTCTCTCCGGGGAGATGAAATCGCTTGATAAAGCAGAGAGGATGAAAAATGTGGGACTTTTCTCCTCCTCTAATTCAGAAGATGCATTGCGGTTGGGCTGGTGGCAGTCATCTATGGCAGTGAGGTCTACAATACAAATGAAAAAGAAAGAAAAGAAAACATTAGAACAGGGACGGTAGGCACGCTGGTGCGCTTATGCATGCCCCTAACAGACCTCTTAGGAGTGGGGTGAGGTCGACAGTAGACAGTCTAAGGTTAAAGTTTTGGGGGTTTGGGGAAGAAACCACAGAGTCAGGTAGTAAATTCCAGGCATTGATCACTCTGTTACTGAAGTCATATTTTCTGCAATCGAGTTTGGAACGGTTTACCTTGAGTTTGTATCTGTTGTTTGCTCGTGTATTTGTTGTGGTTGAAGCTGAAGTAGTCATTGACAGGTAGGACATTGTAGCAGATAATTTTATGCACTACGCTTAGGTCATACCGAAGGTGGCGTCGTTCTAAGTTGTTTAAGCCCAGAATTTCAAGTCTGGTGGCATAAGGTATTTTGTTGCGAGCAGAGGAGTGGAGGACTCTTCTTGTAAAATATCTCTGGACGTGTTCAACTGTATTAATGTCCAAAAAGCCTTGGTGGAGCAGCGGACTAAAGTGCTGTTAAATAGCACTTAGCTGCCAGCTGCCTGCAATTACTGCAAGTTCGACTCTCACCAGGCTCAAGGTTGACTCAGCCTTCCATCCTTCCGAGGTAGGTAAAATGAGGACCCGGATTGTGGGGGCAATAAACTGACTTTGAATAAAAAAAGAACACCGCTTGTGGGGGGGGGGCGCAAAAGCCCTACTAAGAAGGTATATACAAAAGTATGAAGGCTATTGCTTAACGCATTGTAAGCCGCCCTGAGTCTCCGGAGAAGGGTGGCATATAAATCGAACCAATAAATAAATACAATAAATAAATATGCAGTGCGGGTTCCAGACAGATGAGCTGTATTCAAGAATTGGTCTAGCAAATGTTTTGTATGCTCTAGTTAGTAGTACAACATTACCAGAGAAGAAGCTATGGAAGATTAAGTTAACAACTTTTAATGCCTTTTTGGCAATGTTGTTACAGTGGGCTCGGGCACCTAGATCTTTAGAAATGAGAAGAAGAAGAAGAAGAAGAAGAAGAGGAAGAGGAAGAGGAAGAGGAAGAGGAAGAAGAGGAGGAGGAGGAGGAGGAGGAGGAAGAAGAGGAGGAGGAGGAGGAGGAGGAGGAGGAGGAGGAAGAAGAAGAAGAAGAAGAAGAAGAAGAAGAAGAAGAAGAAGAAGAAGAGAAGAGAAGAAGAAGAAGAAGAGGAGGAGGAGGAGGAGGAGGAGGAGGAGGAGGAGAAGAAGAAGAAAAGAAAAGAAGAAGAAGAAGAGGAAGAAGAAGAGGAAGAGGAGGAGAGGAGGAGGAGGAGGAGGAGGAAGAAGAAAAGAAGAAGAAGAAGAAGAAGAAGAAGAAGAAGAAGAAGAAGAAGAAGAAGAAGAAGAAGGACGAGGAGGAACAAGGACAACGACGACAACGACAACAACTCAGTGCCATTGCTTCGCTTCCCTCTTAGATGCAAGACAGCTGGAATGCTTCAGAGACCCCCATTCAAGGAGGTGTCTTTTTCCAGTCATTCTCAAAGCAAAGCACCCCCTCAAAGATCTCCACCCCCACCCCACTGCTGTCCAGTCCATTTTCAACCCCCCCCTTTTTAGAACTTAGAAATTCATGAAAACAGTAGCGGTTTCTTGCTCCTGTCTTCCATCCCTGCCGTACATTGATCGTAGACTCGCTTTGTTTCCAGTAATGCCTGCTAGTTTCCTATTATGCATCCATATGCTTCTGTAATTGAATTTGCAACACTTTGCCAGAAATCTATCTTTCTTTAGCAACACCGATAATGAAGAGGGAGCCGACTGTGAAGCACACCCGTACGCAGCCCCTAGAATTTCCTTGCAAAATGTGATCAAAACCTCCGGCTATTAAAATATCAAACCACACAAAAAAAAGAGGGTGATTTTAAGGGCAGTCATATTGCTGTATCTTTTTCTTTTTTAAATAATAATAATAATTTTCATTAGACATGTTTCAACTTTAAAACCACATTTCCACTCATTACAGCGTTTCAGTATCAATGTCACTCATATTAACATAGTTTGTAATTATGTAGATTACTATTCGGTATATTATATAATCATTTAATTGTCTACTTTTAAATTATAACAATATTTACAGATATATACCATATTTTCTCATTTTGATGTAAGTCTTACATATTCCTTACGTAGGAACTTTACGTCTATCTTCTAACCAACTGTACCATATATTCCAAATTTTATAGTATTCCGTTTCTTCTCTATCCTTTAATTCCATAGTTAACCTGTCCATCTCTGCATACTCAAGTACCTTTCGTATTATCATTACATCGGAAGGAGTGTTATCTTGTTTCCAGTTTTGAGCAAAAGCAATTCTAGCTGCGGTTATTATATGAAGTGTTATATATTGAAGTTTTTTACATATGTTTTCTCTTAATATGCCCAATAAAAATAATTCCGGTTTCAGCTCAATTTTTTGTTTCGTGATTTCTCCTAGCCATTTCTTTACTTTGAGCCAATATTTCCTAGCTTTGGGGCAAGTCCACCACATGTGGAAGAAAGTTCCTTGTTTGTAGTTGCATCTCTAACATCATATTGCTTTTTCATATAGCTGCTGGTTCACCCAAGGCCCATCTGGTGAGAGGGCTAGTAAAATTCAGGAAAGACGAGCATCCCAACTCTTTTATCTTAGGACCATTTTGCTTGTGGTTACGTAGGGGTTCTAGGCTGCTCCCTCTTTTGACTCCATCCTCTGGTTCTGCCACTCAGGGGTGGACTTTTAAAATGCTTTTAAAAGTAAAAAAAAAAGCCTCTGATGATCACGTGACTCAGCTGGGATCGTCAAAGGGATCGTCAGATGATGATCCCAGCTGAGTTGCCTGATCAGCAGAGGCTTTTTTTGTTTTAAAAGCCTCTGACGATCCAAGCTGAGTTGCCTGATCGGCATAGGTGTTTTTTCTTTTAAAAGCCTCTGACGATCCCAGCTGAGTTGCCTGATCAGCAGAGGCTTTTAAAAGAAAAAAAGCCTCTGCAGATCAGGCAACTCAGCTGGGATCATCAGAGCCTTTTGAAAGCATTTTTTTTACAACCTCTTCGCCGAAGAGGTTATAGGAAAAATGGTTTTAAAAGGGAAAAAAAATTGGCCACGCCCACCCAGTCACATTACACCCCCCCCACCAAGCCACGCCTACAGAACCGGTAGTAACAAATTTTAGATTTCATCACTGACTTAAACCACATCCAGTGCTTTCACGATGGCCTTCCTCTTCCTCTTCTGATGAAGATGCTAATGCTCACCTCTTCATTCCTGCAGGCTGCCCGTTCCTGATCTGTGTCATTTCAGCAACGACATCTGTGGAAAGCTATGGAGAAGTCAACAAGTGAGTTCTGCAAATGAGAAACTATAAATTTGTTGTCGTCGTGATAGCTCCTTTGAAGAATGTAGAGTTTGTAGATGGTATCGCATATCCAGTGGTGGGATTGAAAAATTTAACAACCAGTTTGCTGCCCGATGGGCATGGATGGGCATGGCCATGGCCTTGGGGGTGTGGCCTACTCAGCCTCCTGCACCACGGTGGGGGAGGGAGGCGTTTTCACCTTCCCAAGGCTCCGGAAGCCAGTCCTTGGAACAACCGGTTCGGCGGACTAGATAAAATTAACACCCGGAACCGGTCCGAAACAACTGAATCCCACCCCTGCACATATCCATTTTTGCTCCAACGGTCTTAGCATTAAGCAGTCTCCATGAATCCATATCTTGGCCCAATTTCCTTAATGCAGAGTCCTTCAGATGTATCTGAGAATGGTGGAACTTGAAGTCCAGAAGATAAAGTCTATAGCTTTGTCTTTCTCCCACATCCAGATCATGTTAAGACTAGCAAAGGTTGCATTCCGTTTGCAATGTTAGTTCCCAGGTAACCGCCTTTCTGAGACAACTGGGTTAAAGTTAAAATCATGGATTGTCCCTCTCCTATGTTCCTTGAGCAGAGACCTGGAATGAAGAAAGCAAGCAGGGGAACCAACTTTTTCTGCTGTCCCTCTCACCCCAGCTTTTCCTCTTTCTTCCTAACTACATATTTTTCAATCAATGGTGGTTTGGAACTCATACACCCATCGTCCCCATGCTACAATGTCATAATGTCTTTCCCTCTTTCTTTCTTTGCAGCTGTTGGCTGTCATTGGAGAGTGGTGCCATCTGGGCTTTTGTGGCCCCAGCTCTGTTCATCATTGTGGTAGGTTTGCCTTCCTTCTCTTCTCTGTTAGAAGCTCGAGAGGAGCTGGTGGGATGACCATGGCAAGTCACGTTTGACCGTATGGAGCTCAGCTCTGGTTGCGCCTTTTCCAACCAACAGATTTTCTGAAAACCATCAGTTTCACCAGATGCATCTCCCTTCACCGGATACCTCAGATAACATCTGTGAAGGAAGCTGCAGCTCACAAAAACTGGTACCTTTAATGAAACTTGTTAGTCGGGGGGAAAAGTAGCTACCAGATGTCTCCTGTCTTTTTACACCTATAGATCAGTGTTTCTCAACTTTGACCACTTGAAGATGGGTGGACTTCAGCTCCCAGAATTCCCAAGCTAGCATGAAGATGAAGTCCACCCATCTCCAAGCGTCCATGGTTGAGAAACACCCGGCTTTTCTCCTCCAGTGTCCCTTAAAGCAGGGGTCTCTAACCTTGGCAAATTTAAGACTTGTGGACTTCAACTCCCAGAATTTCTCAGCCAGCCAAGCTTGAAGTCGAAGTTGAAGTCCACAAGTCTTCAAATTTGTTTATTTATTTATTTATTAGTTTGTCAAACATGTACTAGATATCAGGTATAAGTATGAACATGGACATGAACAAACGAATGAATACAGATAAATGGGGACAGTAGTTCAGGGACGTTGGCCTACTGGTGCGCTTATGCACACACCCTTTATGGACCTCTTAGGAATGGGGTGAGGTCCACGATAGACAGTTGAAGATTGAAGCTGTGAGGGTTTGAGGCTGTAACAACGGAGTTGGGTAGAGCATTCCAGGCGTTGACCACTCTGTTGCTGAAGTCGTATTTTCAGCAATTGAGTTTGAAGCAGTTTACCTTGAGTTTGTATCAATTGTTTGTCCGTGTATTATTGAAGTTGAAGCTGAAGAAGTCATTGACAGGTAAGACATTGTAGCAGACAATTTTGTGGCGTATGCTTAGATTAGATCGCAGGCGGAGCAGTTCTAGGTTGTCCAAGCCCAAAATTTCAACCCTGGTGGCATAAGGGATTCTATTGTGAGTAGAGGAGTGGAGGACTCTTCTCGTGAAATACCTCTGGACCCGCTCAATTGTGTTAATGTCCGATATACAGTGTGGATTCCAGGCAGACGAGCTGTATTCGAGAATTGGTCTGGCAAAGCAGTGGTGAAATCCAATTTTTTTTACTACCGGTTCTGTAGGCGTGGCTTGGTGGGTGTGGTGTGGCTTGGTGGGCATGGCAGGGGAAGGATACTGCAAAATCTCTCTTCCCACCCCACTCCAGGGGAAGGATATTGCCAAATTTCCATTCCCTCCCCACTCCAGGTGAAGGATATTGCCAAATCTTCATTCCCTCCTCATTCCAGGGGAAGGATACTGCAAAATCTCCATTCCCTCCCCACTCCAGGGGAAGGATACTGCAAAATCTCCACTCCCACCCCATTCCAGGGGAAGGATACTGCAAAATCTCCATTCCCACCCCACTCCAGGGGAAGGATTCTGCAAAATCTCCATTCCCTCCTCACTCCAGGGGAAGGATTCTGCAAAATCTCTAATCCCTCCTCACTCCAGGGGAAGGATACTGCAAAATCTCCATTCCCTCCTCACTCCAGGGGAAGGATTCTGCAAAATCTCCATTCCCACTCCACTCCTGGGGCCAGCCAGAGGTGGTATTTGTCAGTTCTCTGAACTACTCAAAATTTCTGCTACAGGTTCTCCAGAACCTGCTGGATTTCACCCCTGTAGCAAAGGTTTTGCATGCCCTAGTTAATAATATTGTGTTACCGGAGAAGAAGCTTCGGAAAATTAGGTTAACAATTCTTAATGCCTTTCTGATAAACCTCTGCCCTGGAAGACACCAAGAATCCATAGTTACCAGAATCAAAAGATTGTTTAATAACCCTGTGTTTCACGGGGTTGAAACAGCTAAGCATTCTCTCCTTCGTCTGGCTCTACTTAGCCAACTGAATGACACTTCTATTTTTCTCATCTACCATTGCAGTTTCGAACAGCCTGCCCCCCCTCCCCCCACCTTTCACAATGAGAAGCAGTAGATCCACTGCTACTCAGCTGTGCAAGTCAATAGCTTGCCCCTCCCAGGTTTATAACACTCCATCAAAAAAGGAGAATTAACTCAAGTTTGTTAACTCCACAACCTGCTCTGGGCATATCTGCTGGCTATAACGAATGTCAACTTTCATAAAGTGAAAGTTGCAAGTTCACGACGGGGGCCTTCCTGATACATAATGTATGATGGACATTTTAATGATAAATGGAATCAAATTTTGTGGCTTAATCACTCAGATGGCTCTTTAGAAGTTGCAAGAGAAGGCTGGAGATTTTTTCCCCTCCCTGATAGATTAAGGAAGCAGGCATTCCTGTCTTTAGGCTATCCTTAGCCCTGTCTTCTTAGATGTTTTTAATCGATCGAAATGTTCCTCTGATGATAAGAAAACCCAGCTATGGGTCGTTCCTGACAAATGGAAAGGTAAACATATTGACCGAGCTTTCACACTGTCATTGTTCATCATCTACAAGAGGTTCACCACCTATGGTTGTGGGTTTGATTCATTTCACTTTGTCCTAATTTTAATCAGGCTGAGGTTTTGTTGTTAGTTGCGAAGTTGTGTCCAACCCATCACGACCCCATGGACAACGTTCCTCCAGGTCTTCCTGTCCTCTACCATCCTCCCGGAGTCTATTTTAGCTCACGCCAACTGCTTCAGTGACTCCATCCAGCCACCTCATTCTCTGCCATCCCCTTCTTTTCTTTTGCCCTCCATCGTTCCCAGCATTAGGCTCTTCTCTAGGTAGTCCTTCCTTCTTATTAGGTGGCCAAAGTATTTGAGTTTCCTCTTCAGGATCTGGCCTTCTAAAGAGCAGGCAGGATTGATCTCCTCTAGGACTGACCGATTGGATCGCCTTGCAGTCCAAGGGACTCGCAGGAGTCTTCTCCAGCACAGAGTTCAATTCTTTGGCGCTCAGCCTTTCTTATGGTCCAACTTTCACAGCCATCCATTGCAACTGGGAAAACCATCGCCTTGACTATACGCACTTTTGTTGGCAGGGTGATGTCTCTGCTTTTTAGAATGCTGTCTAGATTTGCCACAGCTTTCCTCCCCAGGAGCAAGCGTCTTTTAATTTCTTGGCTGTAGCCCCCATGTGCGGTGATCTTGGAGCCCAGGAAAATAAAATCTGTCACTCCCTCCGTTTCTTCCTCATCTATTTGCCAGGAAGGCTGAGATTTAAAAAAGATGTGGAGACTCTAGAAAGAGTGCAGAGAAGAGCAACAAAGAGGATTAGGGGACTGGAGGTTAAAACATACGAAGAACGGTTGCAGGAACTGAATATGTCTACTCTAGTGAAGAGAAGGACCAGGGGAGACATGATAGCAGTGTTCCAATATCTCAGGATTGCCACAAAGAAGAGGGAGTCAAACTACTCTTCAAAGCACCTGAGAGTAGAACAAGAAACCGATGGAAACTAATCAAGGAGAGAAGCAACTTAGAACTAAGAAGAAATTTCCTGATCGTTAGAACAATTAATTAGTGGAACAACTTGCCTGCAGAAGTTGTGAATGCTTCAACAATGGAAGTTTTAAAGAAGATGTTGGATAACCATTTGTCTGAAGTGGTGTAGGGTTTCCTGCCTAGGCAGGGGGTTGGACTAGAAGACCTCCAAGGTCCCTTCCAACTCTGTTATTCTATATCTATTTCTATTAGTATTTATTAGTATTTGTTTTTTTTCAGAAAACGAATACAAAATAGAAGAGGCATGGCTTGGTTTTGTAAGACCTCTTGGACACGCTGTGGGTGCGTTGAATGTGTAAGGTATCTGCAGAGGCGGGAGAGGGATATGCTGTCACGTGCCTTGTGGGACACAGCTGTGTGAAATTATTTCCTTGGTGCACTGGGGTCCTGACATGCTGTGACATTGCTATGGCTGGCTGTGTGGCCGGGGTAATGAACTAGTCGTACGAAACTGGACAAAGTAGACAACTAATAAAAATTTCCTGCTGGTAGAGGTGTGAAAGGAATAATAAGCCACACACAACAGCATGAGAAGAACTCAAGTCTTCCCTGCCGGTTAAATTTTCTTTATTGTCAACTCTTGCCAATTTCTCCCTTCCTTCCTTCCTTCCTTCCTTCCTTCCTTCCTTCCTTCCTTCCTTCCTTCCTTCCTTCCTGTGGGGTCCTTGGTGCTCTTTGAGCTTGGTTGTTTTCCTGCAGACATTTTATCACCAAGCTAGGTAGCATCATCAGTGCTAGAAGGGAATGGGATTTGCTCCCTATTTATTCCCCAACACAATTCCTCCAATTAAGGAACTACCAACTCAACAAACAACCTAATCAAGGAACCCCTAAGACCACGCCCACTAACACTGATGGGGCAAGCCACTTGTCTATAGATAGAGCAGCTCCACTCTCTTCTAGCACTGATGAAGTTACCTAGTTGGATCATGAAATATCTGCACGAAAACAACAACCTCAGAGAGCACTAAGAACAACCTCCTCCTCCTCCCCCTCCTCCTCCTCCTCCTCCTCCCCTCTCCTCCTCCTCCTCCTCCTCCTCCTCCTCCTCCTCCTCTCCGTTCTACCAGTGATGATGTTCCCTAGTTGGGTAATGAAATATCTGCAAGAAAACCAGTTCAGAGAACTCCAAGGACCCCAAAGATGCAACGCTATCCACACTCCTCATCCAACTTATAAAATATTAGGGACTAGATAGTCCTGGAAACCACGTAGGGGGCCTGGATTTTCTTTTAAAGACTTAGCTTTACCTTTCATCTTTTAATAACGTTCATTTTCAAGAGCTGCCCTTCGTGTTTCCCTTTGAAGAAATCTGGCCTGGAAGTACGAGGCGATTTCAAAAGAATGAATTAGAACCCCAGTAAGAAGGATCATAGCTAATCGCTAAAAGAACGTACTCTTCAGCCCTAGCCTTCCTTTATTTCTTAGTCACAGCCTTCACAGGTGTTTGCATTTTATCCTTGACGTGGCGGTGCAG